CGGCGTGTGGTTGTACCGCAGCGAGTCGATGCACGCCTGCGCGGCTCGAAGCCTCGCGCGGATGGGGACGGCGAGGGAGAGCGACGGAGGGAGCGGCGCCGGTCGTCTCGGCGGGGCGGAGAATCCGACGCGTCCGACGCGTCCGCCGCCGCCGTCGTCGTCGTCGCCGCTCGCGTCGTCGTCGTCCGAGGCGGAAGACGCGCGTCTGGCGCGCGAGATCGCAGAGCTGCGCGCGATGCGTCTCCTCGTCGTCGAGCGAGGGATCTCGCTGACGCGGAAGCAGTGCGATCGCGCGGCCGCGCTCGTGAAGAGCATCGCCGCGGCGAGGCCCGGCGCGCTGACCGCGGGGGGCGACGACGACGACGACGACGACGACGGCGACGACGACGACGGCGGCGGCGGACGCGTCGGACGCGTCGGATTCTCCGCCCCGCCGAGACGACCGGCGCCGCTCCCTCCGTCGCTCTCCCTCGCCGTCCCCATCCGCGCGAGGCTTCGAGCCGCGCAGGCGTGCATCGACTCGCTGCGGTACAACCACACCCCGGACACGTACTTCAGCATCAACAAGAACCGGCCGTACGCGCGAGTCGTGGACACCGCGAAGGTACTGTACGGCGCGACGGTCGAACGCTCTCCGACCGCCCCGGGGCCCCTCTCCCTCCGCGCCGCGTCGGCGAATCTGTTCGCATCTGACCAATCGCGCACTGACCAAACACGTCACCGCCCGTCGTTTTCCTCTGCCACGTCAGACGATCCTCCGCGACGCGCTGCCGATCAAGTGCGTCGAGGCTGTCTTCCTCGCGCTGTTTCTCACCACCGGGTGGAAAGAGGTGGACCGCGCGCCGCTCGGATTTAAAACCGAGGTGCGTTCTATACACTGGTTCCCATACGACCGCGTCGGCGTGGTGAACGCCGATCCTTAAGGACTTTTCCCGGCGCATCTCTCCGCCCACCCCCCGCTTTCAATCCCTGCCCTCGACGCCTTTCAACTCCAACTGACGCCTTTGAACTCCATCCCGACGTTCTCGCTCGTATGGAACGACCCCGAGTGCGGCGGTCGCGAGCACCGCCACATCGTCCTCCTCGTGCGTCACCGAGAAACGGGCGCGTGCGGGGCGTTAGGGATCTCGAGAAGGAAAGAGCTCGGGTACGTCGAGATGGAGCACCCCTCGGTGTCGTCCGTCGTGGACGCGTATCGCGTCGCGTACGAACGGTGGCGGCATTCAATATCGAAGGTGCGCGTGGGTCTTCCCGCGGAGCACGTTCTCTCGAGCAACGAAAACGTGTGCTGGCGGCACTGCTGCGTGAGCGTAGACGCCGAGGACAAAAGCGCGGCGGCGTGGGACAGAGCGCGGGAGATGTTCGACGACCACGCGTCGCGGTGGACGCGTCTGAAGGAAAAGTGGAGGATGGACGGCTTGCGGTTCGGCGCCGGCGACGGCGGACGCGCGCCCGGCGACGGCGGCAAGGGACCTGGTAGAGAGAATAGTAACCTTAAGGCGACGGCGACGGACCGCGGCGCCGGCGGCACGACGAAAGGCGCGACGACGCCGAGGACGCCGCCGCGGTCGCCGAAGCGAGCGACGACGTCCGCGCCAGCGAGTCCAAACGCCGCGGGAGGCGCCAAGCCGCCGCCGCCGCGGTCGCCGACGACGGCGCCGGCGAGGAGTCCCGGCGGCGCGGCAGCGTCCCCCGGACCGCCGGAACCCGCGCCGCGCGCGATCGTCGCGAGCGACGCCGCGGCGTGACGTGAATGAAGACGCGTAGCGTATGTAGTAATGTAGTTCGTAGCCCATCATCGCGTCTGCGTATCGTATTACTCGACAACAGAAACGAACGACGCGCTCTTCCTTCTTCTCGCGCTCCGCGAAAAGCGATGATTATCCGTCCGACCGGAGCACCGATCGATTCTCTTCTACCCGACGCCCCCCACCCTCTCTCTTCTCTCTTCTCTCTTCGTTCGCGCGTCGCGCCGTCGCTCACTTTATTACTTCTTACTGAACCCCATGCCGTTGTCCTCCGCGTACCGCTCCATGAACCGCATGAACCGGTTCCACTCGTTCGTGCTCTTCATGACGTACTGTGCCTCGATCTGCACGGGCTTGCCGTTCGAGAACTTGCACTTGACGTCCACGGTGGAGATCTCCCCCTCCTCGTCCGTGAGGAACATCCCGGTGATGTCCCCCGGGAGCTCCGGGGCTTCGAATATCCCGGATTCCTTGAAGATGAAGAACGCGGTGCCGTTCGTGCCGTCCTTGCTGCGCGTCAGACGCACGTCCGGCTGCGTCGTCTCCTCCAAGCCTTTGATGAACTGGATCGACGTCTTCGCGACGGGCGCGACGACGCGCGCGCGGGTCGCCGCGAGACGCGCGGAGGACGTCGCCCTGAGCGCGCGCGCGGACGGCGCGATGGAGGCGGGCGCGGCGAGGGAGGCGGCGGTCATCGTGAAGGACATCGTTTGCGGTGACGTGATGCGAGCGAGGCGCGCGTGGCGTTGTGCGTCGCGGATGTTCATTGATCTATCCTTCCCGAGAACACGTCATCGCCGCGTCGCCGCGCGCGCGACACCTGGCAGCCTCGCGTTTCGAGATCGAGACTCGCGACGCATACGATCGTTCGCGTCCCGCGTACTACGACGAAAACTACTTTACGACACTCCGAGTCCCAAAATCAATCAGATCATTCAATCAATCCTTTCGTCAACTGCATCATAATACGCTCTACTACGCCCGCCGACCGATCCGACGCCATCGTCCTCCATCCGTCCTCTCCCTCATTCCCTCCTCCCCTCCCTCGTCCAATCATTGACGCGCGTCCTCCCGTCGCACGCTCTTCTCCACGCTCGCGAGAGCCTTCTCCGCTTTTTTTATCTCTCTCGCCTGCTCCTTAGACCGCCCGTCGCCGACCATGTCCGGCGGCTTGATGAACGTGAACCTCGACCCGAACGACACGAGCTGGTCCTCCAGCGCCCTGACCTCCGCCTTGACCGCGTTCGCCTCGTACGTGACGTCCTTCTCGATCTCGCTTTCGATCGACTTGACGTCCTTCTCGAGCTCGCGCTCGAGAAGTCTCGCGTCTTTTCCGACGATCCCCGCGAATTTCCTAGCGTCCTTGCCCACGATGCCAAAGTCCTTCGCGATGTCTTTTTCGATCACGTACGCGTCGTCCGCGAGCGTGTCCAGGTCTGCGATCTTCGAGAGCTTCAGCTCGGGCTCGGGTTTGCACGAGTTGTCCGTGACGACGAAATCGGAAAACTTGACGCCAACTTTTTTACCGATGGCGGTTAACTCCGGCACGTACGCGGGGTCGAGTTCCGGTTTCGTGGAGTACACGACAGCGCCGCCGTACCCGTCCCACGCGTCGTTCGTGCCCTTGTAGTACACGAACACGTACTCGCCTTCTTTGTACCCCGGGATGTACCAGTCGTCCTGGTAGTGCAGATACTCGTTTACGTTGTTGTGTAAGATGGACTTGGTCCGGTCGTCCGCGTAGAAGGTCTGCACGTCGCTCCTCTCGTAAAACTGCCCGTTCGGGCGGTTCACGCGCCAGTTGATCTTCACCGCCATGTGATCCGGGTCCGTCGCGCTGAAGAAGTGCTCCTGGCAGTCGAACGTGTCGAAATCTTTGTTCAACCCCGCGACGATGTACCACCGCTTATCCTTCGCGAACACGTTTGCGTCGAACCCCGACGCCATGGCGTCCAGAGGCGGCACCGGATACTCGCCCGTGTCCTGCTTCTGCTTCACGCAGTTCTTGTTCGTCACCGCGCACGTGTTGAACGTCTGCACCGCCTTGGACGCGTACAGATCGCCGCACTTGATCTGACAGTCCGCCTCGTCCGGACGGCCGAAGCACGTCTGGAGGCACACGAGAGACTCCGCGCACTTCTCGTCCGCGATGCATCCCGCGAGCTCGAGCTGGCAGGAGGAGAGGAGGCACTTGCCCGTCTCCGCGGCTCTCGGGTCGATGAACGCCGCGAGGGAGGGGGACGCGAGGGAGAGCGCGACCGTGGACGCGGCGGCGGCGGACGCGAGCGCGCGCGCGACGCGCGAGCGGGATCCTTCTTCGTCGCGACCGCCCCATCCCCACGTCGGATCCGACGCGCGATCCGACGCGTCGGAGGCGGCGTCGACGGCGTCCTCCGACGCCGACGCGCGCGGCGCGATGGACGCGAACGACGACGACGCGCGTCCGTCGCGGCGGAGGCGCAGCGCGGCGCGCGCGCGGCGCCGAGACGCGCCGAACGACCGACGCGTCGCGGTCGTCGAGGACGACGACGGCGTCGTCGCCGCCGACGCGAGCGCGCCGCGCGTCGCCAGGACGCTACTAAACGCCATCGTCGCTGACGAGCGCTCGAACCGCGGCGCGTTCGATGTCGCGAGCGCGTGTGAGGACGTGCGTCCGCGCGCGCGCGTGTGCGTCGCGCGTTCGAAGCGCGCGCGCGTCGGGTCGGCCCGCACTTCATCACGTTTTTTTTCGTGCCTTACCCACTTCCGCCGATCAACCAGACTCGTAGATCTCGCCGAACCACGCCTCGACGCGCGAAAGGAGATTTTTACGATTTCGTCGGCAGATCTGTCCGCTTTTCCGTACGAGCTTTTAGTCTGCGTTTTTTGTACCACGAACGCTCCGGCGCTCTGATTGGCCGAGAGCCGCCACGTAAGGGCCACGTTTTCTTTCGGCCATCTTTTGTTTTTTTCAACGCGACGAGAGAGCCGCTCGCGTGGCGCGCGCACTCGACGCCGCGCTCGACGCCCGACGCGCGGAATCGCACCGGGACGCCCGAGGCACGTTCCAAACCTACGCAACGATGTCGACGATCGCTTCGTCCGCGCTCGCGGGCGCGCGCGCGCCGACGAATCGCGCGGCGACGCGACGCGCGAAGACGACGACGACGACGACGATCAACGCGACGAGCGCGACGAGCGCCCCGAGGGCGACGAAGGCGACGACGCGCCGCCGCGCGCTCGTCGTCCGCCACGGCGCCGCGGATAACAACAACTCCACGCGCGGCGGCGACGACGTCATGGTCGGCCCGATCCCCGTCGTGGAGATCCCGACGCCAAGAGACGACCTCCCGGAGGTGCTCGTCGCGGGCGGCGGCATCGCCGGCCTCATCACCGCGCTCGCGATGCAGCGCAAGGGCATGAAAGTCAAGGTGTTCGAAAAGGTGAAGGAGTACAAGCTCTTCGGCGGGCCGATCCAGCTGCAGTGCAACGCGCAGGGCGCGCTCGATTCGATCGCCCCGGACGTCGCGGAGAAGGTGCTCGCGAAGAGTACCATCACGGGCGATCGCATCAACGGGCTGCTCGACGGCGTCGCCGGGGACTGGTTCTACCGCTTCGACACGCGCCAGCCGTGCTACAACAACGGCCTGCCGCTCACGCTCGTGATCGCGCGGTACGATCTCCTCGAGATTTTGCGCGACGCGGTCGGCGAGGAGAACATCATGATGCAGACCGTCGTCGAGAAGTACGAAAACGTCGGCGACAAAGGTGCGTTCTATACAAAAGTTTTTCACTCATCGCCCGGTTTCAACACTTGATCGCGTCCCCTTTCAACTGACCGGTGAACTGTTTTTGTATGGAACGACCCAAAGTCATCGCGACGCTCACCACGGGGGAGACGTACGAGGGCGACGTGCTCATCGGCGCGGACGGCATCAACAGCAAGATGCGCGCGCAGATGCGCGGGGAGGACCCGAACAACCCGCCGCTGGCGTACGCGGGCTACGCCGTGTACACCGCGATCTGCGACTACTCCGCGCCGCACCGAGACGCGATTCACACGGACGTCGACAAAACCGGGTACCAGGTGTTTCTCGGTCCGAAGCAGTATTTCGTGAGCTCGGACGTCGGGAACGGGCAGCAGCAGTACTACGCCTTCTTGGACGTCCCCGCGGGCGGAGACGACAAGTATGCCAAGTGCGAGGACTGGGAGAACTACCGCGAGATGCTGTTGGATCGATTCTCCGGGTGGTGTCCCGCGGTGCTCGAGCGCCTCGAGTGCACGAGACCCGAGGACGTGGAACGCCGAGACGTGTTCGACGTGCTTCCGAACCCGCGGTGGATCGACGGGCGCGTCGCGCTGCTCGGCGACAGCGCGCACGCGGTGCAGCCGAACCTGGGGCAGGGCGGCGGGCAGGCGATCGAGTCCGCGTACGCGCTCGCGGACGAGCTCGTGAAGTGCGAGAACAAGAAGGGCGTTCAGATGGCGTTGATGAAGTACACGTCTCGCAGGTTTTTGCGCACCGGGAGCATCCACGGGCTGTCGCGGTTCTCGAGCATCATGAACACGGTGTACCGGCGGTACCTCGGGGACGAGCCGTACGACTTCTACCCGGAGCCGGTGAGGAAGTTTTGGAACGAGGTGGCGAAGTTGAAGATTCCGCACCCGGGGTCGGTGGTCGGGCAGATGGCCATCATGGGGACGATGCCGGGTTTGCTGGAATACGTCGGCGGCGGGTTCAACCGGTTCGGGTTGCCGGCGTGGCTGGGGGGCGCGAGCCACGGAAACGGGACGGACCGCGTGCCGAGGAGCCAAGTACCGGGGGTTAGCGCGCCGCTCAGGGATCTGAAGAAGGAGGACTTCGAGATGAAGGGCATCCCGGGGCTCGCCAAATGATGGAGAGGCGCGAGCGAGCGTCGCGCCGTACCGACGATACCTCCTTACAGGTATGACCAGTACCGTATGCACAGACAGACAGGCTGAGAGGCTGAGAGGCAGTCAGACGACGCACGATAGGGATCGACCGAGGGGGAGGGCCCTGTGCGTGTCGTCGACTCACGCGTAGCCGTAGTAATTTTTTTTCGGTCCGCGCCCCCGCGACTGCGCCCGCGGGCGCGGCCGCGGGCCGATTCGCAGATTTTTTTCATCAGACGGAGAGAGCGGAGTGTTATCTTTGACGAACTTTTCGTTGTAAAGTCAAGTACAACAGTGATACAACTAACGCACATCTCTCACGCGTTACTACACGCACGCACACCACACATACGATCTAGCTAGGGGTAATCCGCCAACGCCTTGACGCCGCCCTTCACCAAACACTCGCGCAGCTCGTCGTGCGTCGCGCCGTTGCTCGCCATGATGGCCCTCGTTCGCAATCCGTACTCCTCCCCGGTGACGAGGTCCGTCATCCTGCCCCCCGCCTCTCGCACCAACAGCGCCCCGGCCGCGGTGTCCCACGAGTTCAGATCGCACTCGTAGTACGCCGTGAGCCTCCCCGCGGCGACCCACGCGAGCATGATCGCCGCGCTGCCGAGCATCCTTGAGGGTCGTTCCATACAAAGCGACGTCGGGGTGGAGTTGAAAGGCGTCAGTTGGAGTTGAAAGGCGTCGATGGCGGGGATTGAAAGCGAGGGGTGGGCGGAGAGATGCGCCGGGCAAAGTCCTTAAGGATCGGCGTTCACCACGCCGACGCGATCGTATGGGGACCAGTGTAAGGAGAACGCGCCGAATGCTTCGAACGGGCAACGACGTCAACGCGATCATCCCCTTGACCATGGCGTCCGCGGACTCGTCCGTCGCGCCGTACCCGGTCACGACGACCGCCTCCGCGCCGGTGCGCTCCTCCCCGACGACGCACGGGGAGAAGTTGACGCGCGCGCCGCCGTTTTTCGTCGCGGAGAAGATCTCCCCGGCGAACGGATCGAGGATCACGGCGACGACGACTTCGCCCTTAGGGTCGTTCCATACGAGCGAACGTCGGGGTGGAGTTGAAAGGCGTCAGTTGAAGTTGAAAGGCGTCGAGGTGTGTCGGGATTGAAACCGAGGAGTGGGCGGAGAGACACGACGGCAAAAGTCCTTAAGGAACGGCGTTCACCACGCCGACGCGGTCGTATGGGGACCAGTGTATAGAACGCGCCTTATGCGCGACGCCGATGGAAATCGCGCTCAGGGGCATCCCGTGGACGAAGTTCGTCGTCCCGTCGATCGGGTCCACGACCCACAGGTACTCCGGCCCGTCGGTCAAGATCTCGTCCAGCGCTCTCGAGGACGCCTCCATGCCGGGCGGGACGGACTCTTCGCCGAGGAAGCCGTGATCCGGAAACGCCAATCTCACCGCGGAGGAGATGATCTCTTGCACCTCGGGATCCACCTCGGTGAGGAGATCGCGCGTGTTCGCCTTGGTCTTCACGACGTCCGCGCCGAGCTTTTGGAGCATCACCGCGGCGCCTTTCTTCGCCGCGTCCGTCGCGACGGCGAGGATCTTCGCGAGCGTCTCTTCGTCCGGGGTCGTGACCCCGGAGGAGGAGGAGGAGGAGGCGGACGCGGCGGCGATCGGACGCTGACGATGCGAAACGCGCCGCGGTCGCACGGCGCGGTCGCGACGCCGCGACGCCGCGAGCGCGGCGCGGTGCGCGCGCGGCGCGGTCGCGGTCGCGACGGCGCATCGCGCCGCGGCCGCGGACGACATGACGACGACGACGACGGCGGCGGCGGCGCGCGGGGGGCGCTCTGGGAACTGACGACGACTGGCCGCGCGGTGCGGTGCTGACTGGACGACGCGACGACGTGAGATCGAGTCGTCGTCACTTCAGAGCCGCGCGGGGGGGCAGGGCGAGCGATGAAGCGCAGAGGAGGGCTCGCGCGCGCGCTCCTCGTCGCGCTCCTCGCGCTGTCTCCGTGGGGTTTCGACGACGCGGCGTCGTCGTCGCGCGGCGACGCGGCGTCTTCGGACGGACGCGAGGCCGCGGGATTAATTCGATTTCGGCCTCGAACGTCCTCCTCCTCCTCCTCGTCGTCGTCGTCGTCAACTCTCTTCGCGCTCGCGGCGCACGACGACGTGTACAGCGGCGGTGTCATCACCGTGGACTCGCGCGGCAACCCCGTCGGCGACACCGTCTCCGCGCCCGCGCGCTCGATGGTCGGATTTGTCCAAGACTGCGTCGGCATCCCACCCAAAAACTCCGGCTCCCTCTGCGGCGCGCGCGGGTCCTACCTCCACGGCCACTACCTCTTCGTCGCCGCGACGCTACAGAACGCGGTGACGTGCGTGGACGTGTACCGCCCGGACATGCCCACGATCGCGGGCTCGGTCGCGGACCGCGTCAACTTGGAGCAGGTGGTCGCCACGTGGATGCACCGAAGCGAAGACTACCTCGTCGCGGTGTCGCGCGGGAAGAGGCCCGCGGGGATCGGGTCCGTGACGCTCGTCGACGTGCGCCCGGCGCGGTGGAGCGTGGACAGCAGCGATCGGCCGATCGTGTCGCCGGTCGTGTTGACGTCGCTGAAGAATTGCTCGAGCACGACGACCGTGGACGGCGTGCGGACGACGACGGGGTCGCTCTGCGGTGCGCGCGCCGAGAACGCGCTTTCGTTTGGATTTCAATTTTTCAATTGTTTTTTTCCTCTCATCGTTCGCGTTCGCGGCTCCGCCCCGCCCTCGCTCGCTTCCGACCGGTTTCAAACTCGACGACTGACCGATGGCACGCGTCGTTCGTTTCATTTCATTCGTTCGTTCGTTCGTCAGGCGCGCGCGCGTTCGCGGTGAAGAACGACTTCGCGTACGTCGTCGGCGAGCTCAGCAACTCGGTCGTCGTCGTCGCGCTTCCGAACGCGCTCTCCGACAACCCGTCGCTCGACGCCCCCGTCGTTCGCGGATTCGTGAACGATCAGGACATGCTGAAAGGCGCGTACGCGATCGCGGTGAGCGGGACGAACGCGTTCGTCGCGTCGCGATGGGACTCCGACGCGATCGTGTTGATCGACGTGTTGGATCCGTCGAACCCGACGATCGGAGGGAAAGTCCCGAAAGTCGGACAACTGGGGTCGTTCGACACCGTCGTCAGCATGAGCGAGATACAGGCGGCGTCGTACACCGGCTCGCGTCTGCGCGGGCTCGAGTTCGTCGCGAAAGGCGTCCCCGCGGGGTCGCCGTACGCGTTCGTGACGAGCGAATTCGACGGGCGCGTCAGCACCGTGGACGCGCGGTGCGTCGCCGCGAGCGAGGAGGTGGGAGAGTCAGTGGGGTACTGCGCGTCGAGCGCGCGGCGGGCGCTGTACGACGTCGACTCGCCCGCGGACGAGCCGTACGTGTACAGGTCGAACGCGCGGCCGAACCGAGCGCTGCTGTGACGCGTACCGTGTACCTTTACTACAGTAGTTGTACTAGTCCTTAGGGCCGACTAGCTAGCTAGATAGTCTCTTCTGATAGAGGAAGCGTTTATACGCGAACGCGAAGGTAGTCTGCTTGCTCGAGCGACGCCGAAGGCGGTAGATCTACGACGTGTTACAAACGCGCTGCCGCCGCCGGCGGCGGCGGCGCGGCGGCTAGCAGAAACGACTCCACGATCGCATCCCATCCATCGCGCGCGCGCGCGTCGTCACAAGAACGCGACGGGCTCGGGCTCTTGCTTGCGCACGAGCGTCGGATTCGGCAAAAATAAAAGCCGCATCCCTCCCACTTCGATCAGGGAGTGCGGCGCGAGGGCGCATCGGTGCCCGCTCTCCACGCCCGTCGCGTTCACCCACACCGGCCGTCTCCCCACGTTTCTCAACACGAACTCGCCGTTATACCGCAACCGAATGAACGCCTGTTGGCGGCTCACCTTGCTCGCGTTGCCCTCCTCCGCGAGGTCGACGTCGACTTTCTGATCATCCGTGGATCGTCCGATGATCGTCTCGCGTTTGGTCAGAAGAAACGTCGCGTTGGCGCCTTGTAACACCCCTAGGGCGCCCTTCGCGGTCGCCGCGCGCGCGGTCGCCGCCTGCGCGGACGCTTCCAGCTTCCGAATTTTGTGTAACGCGCGCGCGAGCGCCGTTTTCGCGCGCTTACGTTCATCCGCGTCCACCTGCGCGAACGCCGGCAACGCGGGAAGATCGAGCACGCACGCCTCCGCCTCCGCGAAAGACGGCGGCGCGTCCAGCCCGATGTAGCCCAGGTGTTCGTCCACGTCGTCGTCGCCATTACCGCCGCCGTCCTCGCCGTTCATCGCCATCGCGTCGCCGCCGCCGCCGTCCGCGGGCACTGACTCCGCCTCCGCCTCCGCCGCCGCCGCCGCCGCCGCCGCCTTTTTTTTTCTCGCCGCGAAGGCGCGCGCGAAGTCGGGCCCCACCGGCAGCGGCGCCACCTTCGGGCTCGCATCCACGATGTACCGCGCCATCCGCTTCGCCGCGGGTCGCGCGACGTTCGGGTCGTACAGAAGCGCTCTGCGATGGAGTGACGAGCGAGGGAGGGAGGGAGGGAGGGAGGGAGCGGGGGCGGTCGGGTCGGGTCAGATCGCGCGTCGATCGCGCGCGGGGCGCTTCGCGCGGAGTCCGAGTCGCGCGGATTCGGAGGAGTTGGAGGAATTAGGGCGGCGCGCGACTCGAGCGAACGCGAGCGGGACGACGCGCGACTCGACGCGCGACGCCGAGACGCGCGACCGATTCGACGCGCACCTCCATCGCGCGGTGATCTCCTCGCGCGTGTACGGCCGCGAGAACGGGAGGATCCCGCGCGCGATCGCCCCCAGCGCCGCGCCAGCCTCGACCGCCTCGCGCAGCAGGAAGTCGTCCCCGACCGGGAAGTCGTCGAGCTTCGCGCCGAGGACGGGCGCGGGCGCGGCGTCGTTCGCCGCGGGCGCCGCCGCGGGCGCGGGCGCCGCGGTGGACGCCACCGCCGCCGCCGCGTCCGTCATGGTACCTCTCTCGACGCCGCTCCCGTGCGCGACGAGGGAAGGAATGAACGACGACGACGACGATCTCGGGGGCGAGGCGTCAGACGAAATTTTTGCTCGCCGGGGCGCCCGTCTGGCACTTGGCACGCCGCCTCGCTGTCGAAAAAAAACGCGCGAAACGGCCGCCGAGACGACCGCGATTATCTTGGCACGGTTGCCAACATTCGTCCAAGCGCACGGCGCGCGCGCGCGCAGCGACCGCGCGCGTCCCGTCGCCATGTCCCCCCCGCCCCCGCCCACGAAGCGCCGACGATCGGGAGGAGGAGAGAGGCTGACCCTCCCCGCGGACCTCGCCGCGGAGCTCGGCGTCGAGTGGGTGTACGAGGACGAGCTCGAGGCGCGACTCGCGATCGCGGCCGAGGCGAGATCCGTGGACGCGCTCTTATCGCGCGACCTCCGCGACGTCTTCGTCTCGGGCGTGCTCGCGCGCCTCGACGCCGCGGATCTCGCCTCGTTCTCGCTCGCGTCGCGCGGATGTCGCGCGCTCGCCGACGAAACGCGCGCGCGCGACGCGGCGCCGCCAGATCGCGCGAGTCATCACGAGGCGTTTCTCTTCGTCGTCGCGGACTTCGCCATCTCCCCGGCTCGAATGAAGCTCGCGGCCGCGCTCGGGTGCCCCGTGCGCGACCCTCGGACGTGCGCGCTCGTCTTACGCGGGGTCTTCGAGCGCGCACCGCGCGCGTTCCCCGTGGACGTCCTCGAGTGGGCGCTGGGAGCGTGCGGGAACGACGCGTGGATGGCGGCGGTGTCACGACCAGGGATCGAACGGAGGCCATGGCTTTGGGACGCCGCCGAGGAGGAGGACGCTATGCTCGGGAGCGACGACGACGAGTACTTCAGGATAGAGGACGTGAAGTTCCTGACGCGCGTCGCCGCGCGCGTCGGAAACCTCGGCCTCGTTCGGCGTCTCTTCGACGCGTTTCGGTTATCCCGACGCCACGAAGAGACCTTCGCGGGCGCCGCGGAGGGCGGTCACGTCTTCATCATCGAACATCTCCTCACCGAGCGCGACGCGTTCATCCCCGTGGACCGCGTGTTCGAGCTCGCCGCGGGGCGCGGACGCGTGGAGTTGCTGCGGTTCCTGCTCGACAACGGGATGCGTCCGGAGACGCCGCGAAGTCGCGCGCGGTGCGCGCGCGCCGCCGCCGACGCGGGCGAGATCGACTGCGTCGAATGGCTCTTCGCGAACGGATTCGAGATGGACGAGGCGACGAAAGATACGATGCGCGCGATCGGGAACTCTATCGCGCAGACGGGGAGGCCCCCTCTCGCGCCCGACGACATCGAAGACATCGCGCATCGACGCCACGAGGCGTGGCTCGCGGAAGGGAGACCGATACCGATTCGTTCCGGCGGCGGCGGCGCGCCGGCGAACGCTCAGCCGTGGCGCGACGAGAGAGGACCGCGGGGGTGGCAGCTCTCTTCCGGGGAGGGCGGCGTCGCGCGAGATATCGACGACTACGATTTCGGCTTGGACTTTGAGACGACGAAGGACGTCGTCGTCGATGAGGGCCCGCCGGCCGGGTTCGAGGCGCCTCCCGAGCCCTTTAGCGACGTCGACAGCGACAGCGACGGCGACGACCCGGAGTTTCCTCCGGGGTTCGAGCCAAAGGCGGCGGTCGAGAGTGGAGGAGGACCTTTAGATCCGAGGCTGCTGCGACCGAAGAAGGGATGCTCGGCATCAGGTCCTCTCGACGTCGAACCGGCACCGGCCGACGCGGGGGGGGCGCGAAGCGATCGACGCGAAGCCGTCGAGGACATGACCGACGATCAGGTCCTCGCGTACCTCCGGTCGTTGCAGGAGTGAGCGCGAGCGCGGCGCGTCGTCGTCCACGCGTGTGCAGTACGATACAGTACGTATGTACCGTATGCGCGCGCGCGCTAGTAGGGGCGTGGACGAGCGTTTCGTTCCGTTCGGTGTCGTTCGCATTCTGTTCTGTTCGTAAACGACGTCCCTCCGCGCGAGCTCGCTCACGTGAATATGAACGTGCTGTTCGCGTCCGGCGCGAGCATCTTCTTCGCGCGCTTACTCCCGACGACGCGCTCGAGCTGCAGCGCGTCGTACGCGCTGAACGCGACGTTCGCGGTCGGCGCGCTGAGCCGCGTCCCGTCCGCGTCGCTCGCGTCGTCGCCGAGGAACGAGACCATCTCGGAGTAAAATTTCTCTCGGTCCGGCAACGAGTAGAAAAAAACCTCGCGCACGCCGCGAATCCGCCGTCGGTGATAGAAGTGCGCGCGCTCCGTCACGAGGAGGACGCGCTTGCGGCCGTCCGCGAACAGCGACCGCGCGCGCGCGCCGTTCTTCAGGTCCGTGTACTCGGAGTTGACGCAAAACGACACCTCCGCCTTTGTCAACGCGTTTCGCACGCGAACGAAATCGAGGTACGACCGCACGAAAAGCAACGACCCGGGCTGCGGGTTCTCTCGAAGCTTCGGCAGAACCCTCCGCGTGAAGTGTTTGAACCGCGCGTCGTCCGCACGGTCGATCGGCGCGTCTGGAACGCGTTCAAACTGCTGCCGCAGCCCGCCCGCGTTTCGCACCGAGTTGGCGGCGACGCCGAGGACGCCCGCGTGCGTCTCCCTCCACCGCGCCCGTCCTTCCACGTTGGCGCACTCATTCCGCATCAGCGCGTTCATCTCCGCGGACGCGTGCGAGGACAGCAACACGGTCTGGCGCAGATGCTTCGCGTGGCCGTTGAGGTGCGTCTCGTGCACGCGCATGACGTCGGTGCCGTGCGTTTCCTTCGGAAGCGCGTTTACGCTCTGCACTGTGGTCACGACGTGGTTCCAATTCTGCGCGGCGATGACGTCCGCGTGGTCGATGATTAACACCTCGAGGGACGAGAGGAAGTCGCTCGCGTTCGCGCCGGACTCTTGAAGCCGCGTGACGAGGCCTGCGACGGCGGCGACGGAGAGAGAGAGAGCGGATGATTCGCCGTCGGTGAGTCTGATGAAGGAAGCGTCGTCGGAAAAACGAAAACGAAAACGAAATGATTCGGCGGCGACGACGACGACGTCGCGAGAGAGCCTCGGGCCAATAGGGAACCTAAGTTCGGCCACAGGCGGTCCGCGCGCGCGCGGTCCTTCGGCGGGTGTATGCTTTCGTCACCGGCTCTCTCGGTCGTCGTCGCCGCCGCCGCCGCCGCCGCCGTCGTCCTCGTCGGCGCCGTCGAGGTGGAGCGAAAAAAAAATGAAATGCGACGAGAGGGAGAGAAATTTCGCGAACGCACCCAACGGCGACGCGACCAAGACGTCGGACCCGAAGAAGTCCACGTACATCCGCACGCTCGCTTTCGTGACCTTCACCCCCAGTCGGAAGTGATCGTCCGTGTTCCCTCTGAACACTTGCTTGTGGTCCTCGGGAATCCACATCGCCTTCTTCCGTTTCTTCCCGCCGTCGTCGCCGCCGCCGTCGTCGTCGTCGTCGTCGTCGCTGTCGCCGTCGCCGAAGTCGTCCGCGAAGCGATCCAGCTTATTCACCGCGTCCGCTCGCCCGTGCGCGGCCGGGCACAGCTGCAGCATGCGTCGCACGATCCTCCCCGCGGTGCTCCGCATCGGCGTGAGGATGAGCACGGTCGGTCGCACGAAGCCCTGGTCCCTCGGCAGGTCGTCCTTCACCCGCACGCGGTTCGCGGATGCGCCCGGGCCTCTCTTCGCCGGCGCCGGCTTCGTCGCGACGTCGGTCTTCGCGACGTCGGTCTTCGCGTCCGCGCCGCCGCCCTCGTCCTCATCGTCCGTCGCATCGCCCGTCGTCTCATCATCCTCCTCCTCCTTCTTATTCTTTTTCTTCTTCTTCGCGGCCGCCGCCGCCTCCGCGGCGGCGGCGCGCTTCGCGCCCTTCTCGACGTCCCGCCGCGCCTGGAGTATGCATACGAGCGAACGTCGGGTGGAGTTGAAAGGCGTCAGATGGAGTTGAAAGGCGTCGAGGGCGGGGATTGAAAGCGGGGGACCCTGGGCGGAGAGATGCGCCGGGGAAAGTCCTTAAGGATCGGCGTTCACCACGCCGACGCGGTCGTATGGGGACCAGTGTATAGAACGCGCCTCGATCGCCTTGGCGCGTTTCAACAGCGCCTCGTTGTTCTTCGTCACGCGCGTTCGCGTCTTCATGACGTGGTTCACGACGTGGAGTAAATACGCGTCCATGACGTCGTCGCCGCCGCCGCCGGTGCCTTCTGGGGTGAGCGGCTCTTTCGGTAACGTCCCTGGTAACGCACGTGCGGTGTACGTTACGTCTTTATAGGCGTCCAACAGCTGGAACAGTTTCGCCTGGGTCTCGGAGGCGAACGGCGCGGCGGGCGCCGCCGCCGCCGCCGCCGCCGCCGCCGCCTTCGCCTTCTCCGCGGCCGCTCTCCCCTCTCCCTTCGCAGCAGCGTCCTTCTTCGCCTTCTTCGCGCCGTTCGCGACGATACTCGCCGGGTCGCGAAGCGCGTTCCATCGTTCCTTGAGCTTCGCGGGTAGGTCCTCCGGCGCCGTCGGGGGCGCCGTCGACAGCTGTACAGCGCCGCCTTCGTCATCCATCGCCATCGCGTCGAGTTCCCACCACCCGCCGCCGCCCTTCGCTTCCTTCTCCCTCTTTTCGCGCTTATCTATCGCGACGTACTTCACCGGCGAGGACGCTAAGCGCTCGATCACGTCCGGCGTGATCGCGCGACGGAGGTGCCTCGCGAGCGAGTGCGTCGACTTGGAGGCGTCCTCCGCGTTGACGAGACCGACTCCGATTCGGTTCCCCGCCGCGACGGCGTCGGCGTCGGCGTCGGCGTCGTCGTCGGACGCGACGTCGTCTTCCTCGTCGCCCTCCTCCGCGTCGGCTTCGTCGTCTCTGTTATCCCACGCCTCCGCGGTCGACTTCGACGCGCGCCTCGCGTCGTCGTCGTCGTCGTCGTCGTCCGCGGCGGGGAGGTCGTCGTCCGAATCCGACCCCGATCCCGACGCCGACGCCGACGCCGACGCCGCCGCCGCGCCGTCCTCCGCGCCGTCCAGCTCCACGGGGTTCCCGTCCTCGTCGACGTACACCTCCGCGTCGTCGTCGTCGTCGTCGTCGTCGTCGTCGTCGTCGCTGCCGCGCGCGACGTCGAACGCGTCGCGCGTGTCGGCGTCGTCCGACGCGCGGAGCGACGCCATGAGCGCTTCGAACGGGTCCGCGCCTCCCGCCAGCGCGGGGATCGCGTCGCGCTCCATCGCATCTCGCGTCGCTTCGCCGTCGCCGTCGCCGTCGCCGTCGCCGTCGCCGTCGCGTCCTCCTCGGCCGCCGCGGCCGCCTCCTCCTCCGCGGCCGCCTCGGCCGCCGCGGCCGCCGCGACCGAATCCGCCGCCGGATCGGCCGCCGTCGGCGCCGTCGCCGTCGTCGTCGCGGTACGACCGTCGGAACTTCCCTCCGCCGCGGCCGCCGGTGTGCCCAGCCTTCCACGCGTCCGCGGCGGAGAGCTTCTTCGCGCGCGCCGCCTTCCCGGCGGCGGAGCGCGGCATCGTCGTCCAGTCAGCGCGCGCCGCTCGGAGTGCGAACGCCGTCGCGGCGGGTCCCGTCCGCGTCCGAGAAAAAACTTCCGCACTGATGAGCTCCGCGGTTTCGACACGGATCGATACTGACCCGTCGTCGGCACTCGCGCGCGCGCCTCGCGCCGCGTCCGCCCTCTCCCTCGCGACCGCGCGCGCGCGCCGATCGCCACGATGGCCGCGGTCGTCGCGAGCTCGACCCTCCGCGTCCGCGCGCTCGCGCTCGCGGCGAGGCGCTCGCGCGTCGCCGCGTCCGACCACGGGGCCCCGGGCCACCTCCGACGCGTCGCCGCGGTCGGCCCGGTCCGATCGGTCCGATCGCGTCGCGCGCTCTCCGCGCGCGCGGAGGTGGACCAGTCGCTGAACCCGCGCGTCGCCGCGCTGCGCCCGTCGAAGACGATGGCGCTGACGGACCTCGCGCGCGCGATGAAAGAGAGCGGCCTGCCCGTCATCGGCCTCGCCGCGGGCGAGCCGGACTTCGACACCCCGGCCGCGATCGTCGAGGCTGGACGCGACGCGATAACCCGAGGCTTCACGCGGTATTCCCCCAACACGGGCACGGAGGCGCTGAGGAAGGCGGTGTGCGAGAAGCTTAAGGAGGAGAACGGGTTGGTGTACGCCCCGGAGGAGATCGTCCTGAGCAACGGCGCGAAGCAGTCCGTCGCGCAGGCGCGTTCTATACACTGGTTCCCATACGACCACGTTCGCGTGGTGAACGCCGATCCTTAAGGACTTTTCCCGGCGTGTCTCTCCGCCCACACCTCGCTTTCAATCCCCGACCTCGACGCCTTTCAACTCCAACTGACGCCTTTCAACTCCACCCCGACGTTCGCTTCCGTCGCGCAGTCCGTCATGGCGACGACGGGCCCCGGGGACGAGGTCATCATCCCGGCGCCGTACTGGGTCAGCTACCCCGAGATGGTCCGCCTCAGCGGCGCGGATCCGGTGATCGTCCAAACCACCTCGGACGAGGGTTTCCTTCTCACCGCGGAGAAGTTGAAAGCGGTGTTGAAACCGAGCTCGAGGCTGTTGATCCTGTGCTCGCCGTCGAATCCCAGCGGCGCGGTGTACTCGAGAGAGGCGCTGGAAGCGATCGCCGACGTCGTCCGAACGCACCCGAGACTCTTGGTCCTCGCGGATGAGATCTACGAACACATCACGTACGCGCCGGCGACGCACGTCTCGTTCGCGGGGCTGCCGGGGATGATGGAGCGGACGCTCACGGTGAACGGGTTCAGTAAAGCGTTCGCAATGACCGGCTGGCGTCTCGGGTACCTCGCCGCGCCGAGGGCGTTCGCGAAAGCCACGGCGACGATCCAAGGCCAGATCACGAGCGGGCCGTCGTCCATCTCGCAGCAAGCCGCGATCGCGGCGTTGGGACTCGGCCTCAACGGCGGCGCGCCCGTCGCGGCGATGAAGAAGGCTTTCGAGACGCGCCGCGATTTCGTCGCCGCGCGCCTCTCGAACATCCCCGGCGTGAAACTCGACGTCCCCGCGGGCGCCTTCTACGTCTTCCCGGACGTCTCCGCGCTCGTCGGCGACGGCGCCAGCGCGGAGGGGTTCGGCCCCGTCGCGGACGGCGACGAGCTGTGTCGGTACCTCCTCGAGAAGGCGCAAGTCGCGCTCGTGCCCGGGAGCGCGTTTGGCAACCCGGAGTGCGTTCGGATATCATACGCGGCGAGCGACGACACGCTGAAAGAGGCGCTGGATAGGATCGAGAAGGCGCTGAACCCGGAGGTGTACACGCGGCCGTGAGCGGAGTGGAGCGGCGGGCGGGTGGGAGGGTCAGTTATTACTCGTGTGATACCCACAGGAAGGACCTGAAAAGTAAACTACGCGTATTACGACTACGCGCGTCTCGACCGTCGCCTCACGGTTCGCCGGCTACGAAAGCGTCGACCGGGGCGCCGCCGCGCTCGCCGCCGTTCCCTCGAAATAAGCATAACGACTCGAACGGCCCGAAGCCGCATTTGAACGCGTCTCCGACGTTTAACTCGTCGATCGCGAACGGAGGACTCGGCACGAACATGTTCCCGCCGTCGTACACGACGGAGGTTCGCAACTCCCAAAAGTCAGCCGGCGAATTTATTCGAAAGTCAGCCGCGTCAGCCGCCGCGTCCGAAGACGGCTTCGGCTTCGCGATGCGGACGTAGTGGTTTTCAAAGGATCCGAGCAGGTTGCACGTCAAGGCTCTGAGCAGGTTGCGTATCATTAAGACCAAGGAGCCCAGGCCGTACGCTAAGACTTGGCGCATGAATAGGAGCACCCCGAAGCCGACGAGGCACGGCAGAAACACTGGCATGCACAGCCTGGTAATCAGACGGTCGGACAGGCTGTCGTCCTCCACGTCTAAACAACAGCAGTACTTGTCCTCGCGGTATAGCCCGCAGCACTTCGTGCGTTTATTCTTCTTCGCATCCTCCGCCTCCGTCGGCGGCGCGACCGGCGGCGGCGGCGGCGGCGCGGCGCGCTTTATGTTCCCGCCATTCACGAACCACAGCGCGTCGAATAGCACGGGGAGGTAAAGGAGTCCCAGGCACGCGTAGACGAACGACCCCCCGGGGCGGAGCTCGCGCGCGGGAATCTTGGCGACGACGTGCAGCACCGTGTACGAAGTTTCGCTGCCGTGCTCGTTCGACCTCGTCGTGTCTTCAATCTCGACCGCCGTCGCCTCGAGGGTGCGCCACGGCATCGTTCGTTCGGTCGCGCGGGATGGATGAGAGAACGATGATGAATTATTACGAACGTTCGATGATCACGTTCGCCATGAGACAGCCTCCCCGAGAGGCGCGTTTCGGGGCTCGGCGCCGACGCGCGCGGCGGGCGCGAGCGGACGGCTCGCGGACGAGCCGAGCGCGCGACGCCGCTCCGAGAGCGAACCCGCCGGCCGCGCGTGCGCCGCGTCGGACGCGCGCCGACCGAAGTGATTACGTACGTTCACATCCCAGCTGTGTCGTCCATGACCAGACCAGACATGACACACAACAGTTCTGTCTCGATTCGCGTCCTCGTCGACCACTGCGTCGCGCACCCCGGGCGAACGCGCGCGGAACCTGCGCGGGACGCTCGCCGAGACCGCGGACGTCGCTCGGCTCCCGCGGCGCGGCACGCACCGCGCGATGCCGCCGATATCCCCGCTCGCGCGCGAGCCGTCCGTGCGCCGAATCTTAGACGAAGCGCAGCTCCTCGCGGCGGATTCGCCGAGCGCGCCGTCCGAGGCGACGCCGCGCGCGGTCTCCTTCGCGATGCGATCGCCGCGGGAGGAGGAGCAGGAGGGGGAGGCGGCGGCGGACGACGACTCCGCGTCTTCGTCGCCGCCGCCGGCGCCGCCGCTCCTCGGGGAGATCGTCGACGCGGACGCGGACGCGGACGGACCGCGACCGGACGCCGCGCGCGAGGAGGAGACGACGACGACGACGACGACGGGCGGATCGCCCGACGACGACGACGACGACGGCGGCACCCCGCGGGTCGATCCGAGGACGGAGCCGTCGTCGCCGGAGTCCCCGTACCCGCGCACGCCGTCCTCCGAGGCGACCTCGAACGAGGCGACCGCTGGCCTGAGACGCGGCGGGAAACGCCGCGAGCGCTCGCGTCGAGGAGCGTCCGTCGCGTTGGACTCCGCGTCTAACAACTAATCGCAGAATCCCACGTCGACCGCGGTTTGTTCGTCCGACCCGGACCCGTCGACGACGACGCCGGCGCGAAAGTCCTCCGCGGAGCTCCCGCTGGACATGTGGGACAAGAGGGGTAACCTGAAGATCGGTATCGCGCTCGCGAGGGCGGTGAAGGGCGCGGGGGACGGCTCGGGAGAGCCCGGCGGCGGCGGCGGCGGCGGCGGCGGCGGCGGCGGCGGGGAGCCCGAAGGCGGCATCTGGGCGCCGGAGAATCTCTCCGTCGCCGACATGACCACGGAGCAGTACCGTCTCCTGTACTTGATCGCGCGCGTGCAGAGGGCCGTCGCCGTCGCGGAGGACACGAGGCCCGAAGACCAGAAACACGCGGAAGAGATGTACGACCCGTGGAGTCGTAAGATCTCCAGACGACGCAGCGCCATCTCGCGCCGCGAGAGCGAGAAGACCGACGGGAGTCGCGACGCCACCCCGGGGAACTCGAGGCAGGGAAGCAACAAGGTCGCGCCGTCGCTCTCTCGGAAGAATAACCTTAACCTTACTAGCGGCGAGGGAGTCGACGGAGGAGGAGGCGAGTCCGCGGTCGCGGAGGCGGCGCGACGGCTCGCGGGCGGAGTACCCGGGTTATCGGGCGGCGCCGGCGCCGGGGCGAGTCGACTCGGCGAGATGCTTCGGCGCGCCACCACGAACCTCGTGAACCAGCTTCGCACTGCGTACATGCTCTCGCGCAGCGGGCACGGCCTCAGCGGCGCGCACGGCGACGACGGCGACGAGTCGTACAGCTCGCGGTGGGTCCACCGAACGTCCATTCTCGTGTACGTGTACGAGGCGATTCTTCTCGAAGTCCTGGACTACGACTTCGCGCCGTCGAACGAGTTCACGGGCATGGGCGCGGTGAACATGAACGTGTCCTGGGAAGCCGTGGACGACCTGAGCGACCTTCAGAACATGGGTCTGATCGCGCGCCTGAAGCTCGCGACGCGGGAACAGTTCACGTCGACGTCCTATCAAGTCTTACCCGCGGGCATCGCCGCGCTGCGGAACATCAAACAGGAGGATAAGGACGCGATCGACGCTTTCTTGACCCAGGGCGTGCTCGGCGATACCCCCGCGACGCTCAACGCGCTCGCGAAGGAGCGCTTCACGCACGGCTCGCCGTTCGACGTCAGGGTGGACGCGATCACGAAGGACTTCATCCTCGTCGATCCGGACGGCCGCGAGCGGTTCAGGCGCGTTCTATCTTACACTGTTCCCCATACGACCCCGTCCGCGTGGTGAACGCCGATCCTTAAGGACTTTTCCCGGCGTCTGCATCTCTCCGCCCAGGGTCCCTCGCTTTCAATCCCGACACACCGCGCGCGACGCCTTTCAACTCCGCTTCTGACGCCTTTGAACTCCACCCCGACGTTCGTCGCTTCGTACGGGCAATCACCCTCAGCACCATCACCGACTTTGAGGACGTCTCGTACGTGTGCTCGCCGTACCTCCCGGACTGCCTGCGACCGGAGCGCACGACGACGCGGACGAACCGGCCGTTTTCGGACTTTAGCGAGCTCGCGCACGTCGCCGCCGCGGGGGAACACACGCTTCGAGAGGAGGGCGACACGCACGTCGTCGTGTCCGGGTTGAAAATTATAACGTCGCAGTACCTCGGTCCGTACACTGGTTCCCGTACGACCGCGTCGGCGTGGTGAACGCCGTTTCTTAAGGACTTTTGCCGTCGTATCTCTCCGCCAACCTTCCGCTTTCAATCCCCGTCCTCGACGCCTTTCAACGCCAACTGACGCCTTTCAACTCCACCCCTCCGGGAACCAGTGAACGGACCGAACGAGCTCAACGCGTTGAACGAAAAGCTCATGCTGCACGCGTCCAGAGGGGAGATACGAAGCGGTCAGAGCGGGCTCGTCAGCACGAAGATCGACGCGTCGCCCTCGAGCACGACGTTCGACGTCCAGATGAGCGGCATGGCGGCTATTTTCCCGATGGACTACGTCCGGTCGCGGCTGGCGAACTTCGAGTCCAAGGTGTACTTGCCCGAAGACCCCGGGGTGGTGCAGGTGGAAAACTTCGGGATTCACCTCCACGCGAACGGGCAGGTGGTGTTCGGCGTGATTGTCGACTCCGTGCAGTCGCACGTGAAGGACGGCATCCCCGTCGACCTCGTCGCGCGTCTGGTGTTCGACCTGCACGAGGATTCGTCGTCGACGCTCGAGTCGATAAGCTCGTCGCACCAGCGGCTGTTGATGACGTCGCTGCGCAGCAAAAAGAGCAAGAAAGTCGCGGGCGCGGATAATCACGCGAGCGCGCACGGCGCGACCATGAGCGTCGTGGACCTGGGCGCGAGGACCGAGCGTCGAACGCGCCGCTCGAAGAAGGCCGGTGGCGGGGAGGGGGGCGGCGGCGGCTTGTTGGGGTACTTTCAGCGCCTCTTCGCGGCGTCGCGCAAGAGGGCGAAGAGGAAGTCGAGGATGAAGCGCGCGGCGACGCGCCGCGAGTCGATGAAGCGCGGCGGCAGCGGCAAGGCTGGGAGCGGCGAGGCCGCCGGCGGCGGCGCGTTGTCGCCGTCAGACTCGGCGCATCCCATGTGGTATTCCGACGACAGCAGCGATAATTACAGCGAGGACGACGAGCTCGACGACACGCCGTCGAAAACCCGCGATTCGTTCGTGGGTCGCGGGAAGGTGATGTACGCGAGCGGGGGCCACTCCGCCAGCGTCGTCGCGACGAAGTCGCAGTTTTCCATGTTCACGATGTTTCTCTGCGAGGAGATCCGAGCGCCCACGCTGTCGAACGTCCCGGTCGGGGAAACCCCCGCGCGGTTCGACGTGACGTACTTCATGGACGGCGAGGACAACGAGAATGAAATCTCGCAAATCACCGGCAGGGTCCGAAACGCCGCGGACCTTCCGGACGGCGGCGTCGTCATCGCGGGCGAGAAGGGCATCGTCGTCTCCGGGATCTGGTGCGTTTCTTTCCCCTCCGTTCCGTCCGTCGTCGTCGTTTCTCTCTCCGCCCACCGCCCCTCGGTTTCGATTTGACGCTCGACCCGCGCGATCGATCGATCAATCCTCGCGACTTCGGCTGACGCGCCGCGCCCCCCAACGATCTCCGCCCCACCGTTTTTCGTATCGGCGACGACCTTCAGCGCGAAGAAGTTTGAAAACGTGTTGGTCACGCACGCGGCCATCATGTCCCGCCGGATATTCGTCTCCACGTTCTTCCACCGCCTGTTCGAGATGGAGTCCGAGATCGACAGCATTCAGCTCATGATCGCTACGCACATCGGGAAGCCGTCCGGCCTCGCGGAGATCAGGCGGCGCGTCATGGTGGCGTGCAAGCAAGCGTCGCTTCTGGACGCGTTGCTGACGCAAGTGAAGACGTCGTCGCACTCGCTGCCGGATATCTCCGAGGAGGACGCGCGCACGCACGCGAACGATCCGAGCTTCGAGATTCTCCTCGAGACGCTCGAGACGAAGGACTACCGCGAAGAGCTCGTCGTTCGGTTGAAAGACCTCGAGAGCCTTCTCAAGTGCGCGCGCCTCGGATTAGACTCGCTTCGCGAAAACACAGACGTCATCTCCGAGGTGCAGATGTTCAAGCTCCAGGAGAGCTTGCAGTCGAACACGCGCAACCTCGAGTCGCTGTTCCGCGCGAACGAGTCCTCCGCGAACTCGCTTCAGCTCATGCAGCTCATCATCGGCGGTTCCCTCGCGTTCTCGGTGATGGACCGACTCGTCGGGAACTGGAACCTCCTCGACGCGTCGTGGGGACGCGACGTCTTCGACGCGTTCATCGACCCGCCGGCGTTGTGGTTGATCATCTCGTTGCTGTTCTTCGCGCTCATCGTCCTCACGCTGCAGTACGCGCTGAAGCGCATGCTCGAGAAGGCGAGCGCGGACATCAACCTTCGTTACTCCCTGCACGTCAAGATTTCCATCCTCGCGCTTCGTCGGTTCTTGAAACGTCACGAGCTGTACAGCGAAGAGGCGGACACGGACGTGGAGGGGAACAACGTGTACAAGGCGACGTGGGAGGAGCCCGCGGAGGCGTACGAGGGCGCGAGCGTGCGCGTGGAAATCACCGTGGACCAAGGCCACGCGCGTCTGTCTACGCTGACGTTGAAGTACAACCGAAGAAGCGGGACGCTGAGCGTGCAAGAGGTGCAGGAGCGGTTCTTCGGCGAGCTCGTCGTCGCGGGGGTCATCCTGGACGCTTCGGGTGCGCGCCGTAGCGTACAAAACGTTTTTCACCCACCCCTCGCTCGATTTCAACATACTATACTGTATGATCGCGTCGGTCCCTTCCTTTCAACTGACCGATGAACGAACTTTTTTCGCACGCACGGCATCGCCCCCATCAGAGCTCGGCGAGCTGTTCCACAACGAGGAGAACGAGGAGGACAAGCTCAACGCGTTGATGGAGATGAAGCGCTCGAGGGAACGCGCGAAGAAGTTGCGGCATCAGAGAGGGAACCGGCAGAGGGTGAAGATCATCGAGCGGACGCCGAGGCTGCGAGGCTCGTCGAAGAATGGGTTGAGCCTGAAAAAATCTGAATGAATAATCGGGCTATCGGGGGGGGGGATGCGAGGAGAAGAGACGACGGGACGGGACCCGTCGCGAGAAATCGCGTTCTCTCTGAAATAACCTTAACTTCAAAAAATCTACTACGAGTACGGACGCGGCGTCATCGAATCGATCGCCGATCTTCTCCTTAATCATCGTCATCAGATCATCAGATCTCACGCGTCGATCGCCTCGCGCGCGGCGAGCAACTCCCTGAGCTGCTCCTCCTTCTCCTCCTTGATCCTCGCCGCTTTCTCCGCGGCTCGCACCAGCAGCCAGCTCCGTAGCGTCCGTCGAAGTTTGTCCCCGTGCAGGCGAATCGCAATCTTCTTCAACGCCTCCCCCCGGACTTTCTTCAGCGCCCGCTTCGCCTCCTTCGCCTCCGCCTTCGCTTTCTTCGCCTTGGCGTCCGCGGGATTCGTTCCCGCGACGGCGGCGGCGTTCGGCGACGCGTTTTTGGACTTTGACTTTTTCGACGCCTTCTCTGCGGACGCCGCCTGCTGCTGCTGTAGAGCCATCTGCTGCTGCATCGCGAACGCGGCTTGCTGCTGTTGAAAGGCGAGCATCTGCTGGTACTGCTGGTACTGTTGAAATTGTTGAAACTGCTGCGCGGCGGTGAACGAGTCGTAGGACTCCGCGCCGCTTCCCGCGCCGCTAAACGCGGGCGACGCCGCCGCCGCGCCCGCGCCCGCGCCCGAGCCCGTCGGGGTGACCATCGCGTTCATCGCGTTCATGTTCATCGGGTTCATCGGGTTCGTCATCGGGTGCATCGCGCCGCCGTACGCGTGTATCGCGGACCGAAGCGACGCGGGGGTATCGTTTTCATCCCGCGCGCTTCCCTCCTCGGAGTCGACGTCCGAGTCGTCGAGGGACGTCTCGTCGTCCTCGTCTTCGCTCTCCTCGCCGTCCGACGGTTCGTAATCCGAATCGTCCTCCTCCTCCTCCTCCGCATCCTCCGAGACCGAGCCGGCGTTGAGATCGGTCTTATCCAGCTGCGGCGGCGTCTCCGGCCCGTCGTCCTCCTCCTCCTCCTCTTCGTCCTCTTCCGAGTCGAACCCGAGCCCTCTCGACGCGGTCTTCCCTCCCGCGATCGTCGGCGTCGGGATCAACCCTCTGATGAGGTCCCGTCCAACCTGGTTCGCCTCCTCGAATATCGCGTCGGCGTCGGACTCGCCGGCGATAGCGACGGCACCCTCGTCGGCACCCTCGGGCGCGAGCGCCGCGGCGGCGGTCTTCGACGTCGGCGGCTCCGGAAGCGGCGTGAGCCAGCTCATCGGGTCGCCGCCGCGCTCCGCGTCTTCGACGTCGACGTCGAACGTCAAGTTTAAATCGAGCTCCGCACGCGCGTCGTATTCGAGGTCCTCGAGCTCCGCGTTCGCGATCCCTTCGAGCATCCAGGCTTCGAGCGCGTTCGTGGACTCCTCCTCCGCGCGGATGCCATCGAGCATGTATTTTTCGAGCGCGTTCTCCTCCTCCGCCGCCTCCGGGACGTCTTTGCCCATCGCTCGTAACGCCTTGCGGGCGACAGTTTCCTTAACGCCGCCGAGTGTTCTCAAAAACCCGCGCGCGATGTCGCCGGCGCGCGCGCGCGCGGCCGCGCGATGCTGCGGCCGCGCGGCGGCGGCGGCGGCGGCGGCGGCGGCGGGCGCGGCGAGCGTCCACGCCAACGCGAGAAACGACGCGCTCGGGTCCGCGGCGAGCTTCCTCGCCGGCGGTCTCGGGGTCGGGGTCGGGGTCGTCGCGGGCGTGGCGCGTTCGGTCAGCGTCACCGACTCCAGGGTCGACGCGGTCGGCGCGGGCGCGACGACGGGTTCGGCCAGTTTCGCGGGCGCCGCGGACGCGGACGCCGCCTCGAGCGGCTTCGTCATTCGCATCGTCGTCGCCACGCGCGTCACGACGGCGTCGTCCGTGAGCGTGACGACCGCGTCCACGGCCTCGCCCGCGACGACGGCGACGGGCGCGGGCGCGGGGACGTCGACCGGTTTCGCGGCGATCGTCGTCGTCGTCGTCGTCGTCGTCGTCGTCGCGGACTCGAGCGACGACTTCGGGACCGTCCGAGGCGCGACGCGCGGCTCGACGGGCGCTCCACCCGCTCTCGTCGCGAGAAAGTCCGACGCGCTCGCGACGGCGTCGATCGGGTGCGTCTTCGTCGCGCGCATCGCGCGTCTTCTCGCCGCGAGGATGTCGAGCTCGCGCTCCTCGCCCGCGCGGAGAAGCGGCGGAAGCGTCGGGGACTCCCCCGTGGACGTGACGACGGTGGGACCGGTCACCATCGCGGCGGTCTTGAGCTTCTTCGCTCTCGACGCGAGCTTCACGACGAGCGCGAGAAAGATGGTGTTCGCGCGCGGGGGTGACGCGCCGCGACGGCGAGGGGGAGGGCGCACGGCGGGAGGAGCGCGCGCGCGAGTGTCGCGGTGCCGCGCGCGGCCGTTGCGATTTTACAAACTCCAAGAAAAACTGCGCTTGAGCTGTCAACGGCTTTTTTTCCGTGATGTGCTCTGAGCGCCAGCCAGAAGAGTTTTTTTCATGAAGAGCACTCTGCGAGCGGGCGCGAGTCTGGTACGACGCGTCCGCGTCTGCTCTCTCCATTCCCCTCACACCGGCAACAACGGCGCGGCGTTCATCGCCACCTCGCGCCTCCCCTCCCCCACGTCCGCGTACAGCGTCGTCCGCAACCGCGGCGTCCGCCCCGCCCGCCGTATCGTCTCCTCCATCCTCTGAGGGTCGTTCCATACAAAAACGGTTCACCGGTCAGTTGAAAGAATTCGCGATCAAGTGTTGAAACCGGGCGATGGGTGAAAAACGTTTGTATAGAACGCACCTGAGGCCCGAACTCCTGCCCGCGGTCGCCGCCGGCGGCGCGCGTGATGCTCTCGTTCATCAGCGTGCCCCCGAGGTCGTTGCACCCGCACTCGAGCAGCAGCGACGCCATTTCCGGGCCCATCTTCACCCAGGACGCCTGAACGTTCTTCACACCCGCGGGGCCGAGCGTGAGGCGCGCGACGGCGTGGACGAGGATGCACTCGCGCAGCGTGGGGCCGCGCCGCGCGTCACCCGCGCGAAACGCCGGCGCCTCGAAGTGGACGAACGGCAGCGGCACGAACTCGGTGAACGTCGCCGGGTGGTTTGCTGACGTGGCAACCGACGTATGCCTTCTTGACGCTGCTGCCGTGTCAGTGTCCATACTATCGGACTCCCTTTTTCGATGACTTCTCGACGCGCTCGAGACGTGGACGCGTCGGAGCTCGAGGAGGTGCCTCGCCCACGCGTCCGGCCCGTCCGCGTCGACGTGTCCGAACATCATCGTCGACGTCGTCGGTATCCCGACCGCGTGCGCGGTCGACACGACGCGCAGCCACTCCTCGGACGTCAGCTTGTCCGGGCATATCTTCGCGCGCACGTCGTCGTGGAGAACCTCCGCGGCGGTGCCCGGGAGCGAGCCTAACCCCTCCGCTTTGAGCGCGACGAGGTAGTCGGAGATGGACAAACCTAACGTCTTCGCGCCGTGCGTTACTTCCAAAGGCGAAAACGCGTGCACGTGCATCTCCGGCGCGCCTCGCTTCGCCGCGCGCAGAATCTCGAGGTAATCCTCCCCGGTGAAGCTCGGGTGGATCCCGCCCTGCATGCACACCTCGTTCGCGCCTCGATCCCACGCCTCTCTCGTCCGCCTCGCCACCTCGTCCAACGACAGCAGATACGGCTTCCCGCGGAGTTCCTCCGCGGACGGGCCCTTGCTGAACGCGCAGAACGTGCACGCGAGCGTGCACACGTTCGTGTAGTTGATGTTCCGATTCACGCAGTACGTCACGACGTCGCCGCACTGGCGTTTCCGGAGGTCGTCCGCCGCGGTGCAGACGTGGTCAAAGTCCGCGCCGCGAGCGCGGAGAAGCGTCGCCGCCGCGTCGGCGTCCGCCGCGGCGTCGTGGACTGCGTTCGTTACACGTGGGGGATCGGTCAGTTGAAGGGCGTCTCATCGGTCGGGCGGGGCGTTGAAAGGGGGGAAGTGAGGTGCCCTCCTTCGCGGTGAAGCGCGACGCGACGACGAGACGACGGGAAAAGAGAGTCCTCGCGACGCGACGTTCGACGCGCGAACGGGATCGCGCGGGAAGCAGTCTCACCGTACGCCGACGACGACGCGAGCTTCGGGTCGCAACGCAGCGCGGAGCCTCGACGCGCGAGTCGATCGATCGCGTCTCTGATGGATTGGGAGACGCCGCCGCCGCCGGCGGCGGCGGCGGCGGCGGCCACGGCGCCGTCGACGCGGACGACGTCTTTCGCGCGCGGGAACCTCGCGACCCGCCACGACCGCGACGACCGCGAGGGCTCCGACGTCGCCGCCGCGGCTTTAGCTTCGGCTTCGGCTTCGGCTTCAGCTTCGGCTTCGGCTTCCTCCGCCGCGGCTTCTTCTCTCCCCGGGCACCACCCGTGCGCGCGGCCGAAGCCTTCCGAGTCGGATAACACGCGGACGTGCGGCGCCACCGCGGGATCCATCCACGCGTCGCACCCGCCTTTGACGAAAGATCCAGACGCCGCCGAATGCGTGGACGCCGACGTGGACGCGGACGTCGATTCGACGACGTATCTCGGCTGCGCGGCGAGTCGCGGGACCAACGAATACCCCTCCGCGAGCGACGCGGCCGCGAGCGCGTCGAGCTCCGGCCACGGCGCCTCCGGGGAGACGTGGTCTGGCGTCACCCCCGGGGAGATCCCGCCCCAGTCGGAGACGCCAGCGCGGAGAAGCCTCCGCCAGTTGCGCGCCTTCCCGCCAACCCCCCCCCCGCCGACGTCGTCCGGCTCCGGCGTCAGGTTCGGCGGGACCTGGATCACCCCGCTCGGCCCGAAGATCAGCCGCGCGCACGCGGCCGTCCACAGCAGCTCCTCGAACTCTGGCTCCGGCGCCGACGCCATCCGCGTGCCGATCTTGGCGCGAAAATTCTGCACCAAAACCTCCTGCACGTGCCCGCCGCCTCTCCTGTCCGCGTCCCTGATGGCGAACAGCGCGTCCAGACGCTCATCGCGCGTATCCCCGATCCCGATCAACACCCCGGACGTGAACGGAACGCGCAGCTCGCCCGCGAGATCGATCGTTCGCAACCGCGCCGCCGGGCGTTTGGACTCGCACCCTTCGTGCGCGCCCCCCGACTCGAAAAGCCGCTCCGAGACGCTCTCGAGCATCAACCCTTGCGAGGCGGATACCGTGCGCAGTAACGCGACCTCGTCGCGCGTTAACACCCCCGCGTTCACGTGCGGCAGCAGCCCCGTGCGCCGCAGAACCTCAGGGCCGTTCCATACAAAGCGATGTCGGGGTGGAGTTCATAGGCGTCAGACGGAGTTGAAAGGCGTCGCGGGCGGGGTTCGAAAGCGAGGGACCCTGGGCGGAAAGATGCGCCGGGCAAAGTCCTTAAGGATCGGCGTTCACCACGCCGACGCGGTCGTATGGGGACCAGTGTGAGATAGAACGCGCCTCGGACGCGCAGTGCGCGACGTACGCCGTCGTCGACGCGAAGGGACCGCCCGGCAGCGATCGCAACGCCTCGGCGGCTTCCGCGTACCTCGCCTCCGGGCGATCGCCCAGGGTGAACAGGCACTCCGTCGCGCCCGCGAGTCGCCCGCGCTCCGCGACCGCGACGACTTCCTCGACGGTCATGTACACGTCCGATTCGGACCCTGTGGGCGGAGAGAGACGACGGCGAAAGTCCTTAAGGATCGGCGTTCACCACGCGGACGGGGTCGTATGGGGACCAGTGTATAGAACGCACCTGATGGGTCCTTCGCGAACGTGCAGTAGCCGCACGCGTCTCGACACGCGAACGTGAGCGGGACGAACACCTTTGGCGAGAAGGTCACGACGCGAGGGTTCGCGCCGAGGGCGCGGACCGCGCCCGCGGCGGCGACGAGCTCGTCCAGGGACGCGCGGGAGATCAGCGCGTCGATCTCGTCGCGCGTGAGGTCGCGCGCGAGCGTCTCGGCCGCGATCGCGTCGGCGGTGGCGAGATCTGACGGCGACGGCGACGACGGCGACGCGGCGGCGGCGGCGGCGGCGGCGGCGGCGGGTCGAGATCTCCCCCGCCGCGCCGCCGCCGCGCGTCCGCGTCGTGCGCGGTGCCGCGGACGCGGCGTCGACGACGTCGACGCCGCGAGCGCGTCGGCCGTCGTCGACATGCGAGCGCGCGCGACGACGTTGTTACGAACAGAAGCGGCGGGGGCGAGCGCGAGATGGACTGGAGCTGGAGAGGAAAAGTTTAGAGTACGCGCGCGCGTAGTACGTTTTTGTCGCGTATGCGTTTGCAGACAGAGATCCCCGACCAATGAGAGCTCGCGCGCGGATCCGTCCAGTCGACAGCGCGGATTTACGAAGCGCGGTCGAGGCGCATCGACCGCATTTTCCCGCGGGCGATGGCGACGACCTGCGCGGCCGCGCGCGCCGCCCCGGCGCGCGCGCACGCGCGCGCGCGACGACACGTCAAGACGACGACGTGCGCGAGCTTAAACGGAAGGCCGGCGGGGAAGAAGGTGCGTCGCGTCGCGTCCGCGACCGCGTATTCCGAGCGCGCGTTCGATCGGGTGACATCCATCCGACGAACCGATACGAAGCGAACGCGCGCTCGATCGATCGCTCCGCGCGCGCGCTCGCTCCCTCGTCGAACGTCCCATCATCCCACTCGCGAACGTCATCCTCATCCTTCTCCTCCTCCAACTCCCTCCCTCCCTCCCGCAGTCGCGCGTGAACGCGGTGATGGCGCCCGAGGTGTCCTCCTCCCCCGCGCCCGTGGACGCCTCGAGGGGGGGCGCTGAGAAAGCCGCGCGCAGGCTCGGCATGGGACGAAGGTTCGCGGACGAGGTCTCCCTGGACAACCCCTCCGACGTCGGCGCGATCCGCAACTATTGGTACCCGATCCACTTCATCTCGAAGCTGAACAAGGGCGACGCGGCCACCTCCTTCGTGCTCTTCGGCGAGCGGTGGGAGCTCGTCGCCGACGACGACGCCGCCGTCGCCGCCGCGAAGACCGCCGTCGGCGTCTTCGGCCCGGAGTACGCGGAGACGCAGGCGCACCTGGTGGACGGCGCCGCACAGAGGTGGACGTGCCGCTCGCGCGACGACGCGACGCGCTTCCTCCCGATCGGGCTGCAGGACGGCCTCGTCATGGTGTGGCCCGGGACGTGTAAGGCGCGTTCTATCTCGCACTGGTTCGCATACGACCGCGTCGGCGTGGTGAACGCCGATCCTTAAGGACTTTTCCCGGCGCATCTCTCCGTCCACCCCTCGCTTTCAATCCCCGCCATCGACGCCTTTCAACTTCAACTGACGCCTTTCCAACTCCACCCCGACGTTCGCTCGTATGGAACGACCCTAAGCCCGACGTCGCGTTGCCGACGACGTTTACACCCCCGGCGGGGTACACGACGCACGCGGAGCTCATCATCGAGGACGTCCCCGTGGAGCACGGGCTGCTGATGGAGAACCTGCTGGACCTCGCGCACGCGCCGTTCACGCACACCGGGACGTTCGCGAAGGGCTGGGGCGTCCCCACGTTCGTCGAGTTCGTCACGTCGAAGCTCCGGAGGGAAGGGGACGGGTGGCAGGACATGGCGCGAGGGCTCACGCGCGAGGGGATCGGGCTGGGGTCGCAGCAGGGGTCGTGGAACCCGTACCCGATCGACATGAAGTTCGTCACGCCGTGCATGGTGGACTCGCACATCGGGATGTCGCAGGCTGGCGCCGCGGGGAAGGGGGCGCAGTTTGAAGAGGGCGTCCAGTGCGCGGAGTGCAGCAACCACCTCCACCAACTCCACGTGTGCGTGCCGTCCGAGCCCGGGCGGACGCGCCTGCTGTATCGGATGGCGCTCGATTTCGCCGGGTGGGCGAAGTACGTCCCGGGGATCGAGCTCGTGTGGACGGAGATGGCGAACCAGGTCTTGGGCGAGGACTTGAGGCTGGTGACCGGGCAGCAGGATCGGATGCGGAGAGGCGGACGGGTGTGGGCGCATCCGGTGGCGTACGATAAGCTCGGGCTGGTGTACCGCAGGTGGAGGAACTTCAGCGTTGGCGAGGCGTGCGACGTGAGCGCGGGTATCGGCGCGGAGGGCGCGGGGGAGACGGCGCAGCGGTCGCGGTGAGTAGTGAGCGGCTCGGGGTTCGTTCGTCGCTCCATCCCTATCATTCATTCCAATCAGATGTAAAAACACTTTTCGTATAAAAAACTTCTCGGACGTCGCACTGTAGTCCTCGCCGCGCGGCCGCACGCGCGCGTCGCCATGGGGAAGAAGAAAAACCGCGGTGGTCATCGCGACGAGGGCGGACCTCGCGCGATGGCGACGGCGACGGGAAGCTCCGGCGGGAAGCTCGAGAAGAGGAAGAAGAAGAAGAAGAAGACGACGGCGGTCGAGCGCGCGGGGAGCGGCGGCGGCGGCAACGCCAAAAAACCGACGACGACGACGGCGTCTCATCGTCCGACGAAGCCCCTCCTCCGCGCGGCGCCGCCTCCGCCGTCGTACCGCCTCAGAGGCACGTCCGGAAGTGACGACGACGACGACGACGCCGCGCCGTCGTTCCTCACGCCGTCGCACGCGGAGTACGAGCGCTGCATGAAGACATCCTACCTCGGGTTCCACGTGGACGACCCGAGCGCGCTGCCCGAGAAGACGCACCGCGAGATCGCGCGCGCGTTCGAGCGCATGGCGTCCGACGGGATCTTCCATCGCGACGTCCTCGCCGCGGGGAAGTCCGTCTCCCCGACGTTCGTCTCGCGCACGCTCCTCGGCGAGCGCGGGATGACGTATCACTACCAGCGGCTTCGCATCTTCGCGCACCCGTGGGACGAAGAGACGCAGCCGGACGCGTCGCATCCGTTTCGCGCGGTGAAGCGCCTGAACGACGCGCTCGTCTCGCGCTCGACCGCCGTCCTGCGCGCGTCGTCGGACCCGCGGCTCGGCGACGGCGTCGACGGCTCGTGCGACTTCAACGTGACGCTGATCAACCTGATGGAGCCCGCGAGTCGATGCGCGGAGGTCCCGCTGAAAGATGAAGCGCTCTTCGGGATGGGAAAGGCGCGTTCTGTTCGTTCTCCTCACGCTGACTGGTTCCCATACGACCGCGTTCGCGCGGTGCACGCCGTTCCTTGAGGACTTTACTTTCTCTCCCGGCGTTTCTCTCCGTCCATCCCTCGCTTTCGATCCCGACACACCGCGATGCCTTTCAACTCCATCTGACGCCTTTGAACTCCGCCCCGACGTCGCTTTGAATGATGGAACGACCCTAAGACGTCGGTGTCGTGGCACTCCGACTCGTCGCTTCAGGACGTCTCCACCGTCGCGGTGTATCACCAGACGGACGACGACGACGACGACTCGTGGGCGGTCGCGCTGAAAACCTTGGACGGCGTGACCCCCGCGATGCGGACGCCGCTCAGGTCGCGGGAGATGTACTACATGTTACGCGACTTCAACGCGCATCATCATCACGCGGGTGCGCGACGTGAACGACGAGACCGCCCGCGTCCCGATCGATGATCACGTCTTCACCCCGTCCTTCCCTTTCAACGTTCCCTTTTGACGTTCGTTCGTTCGTTCGACTGACCGACGCGCGCACCCACCCCGATCGCTCGCCTCGCCTTCTCTCGCCCGCCCGCGGCAGTGATCACCGGGGAGTCGCGGCGATTCAGCAGCACCCACCGCGTCGCCGTCGTCGCGAAGGACACGTTCGAGCACATCAAAACGCGGTGCGAGCGCGCGCTGCGTTTGCTTCCGGGGATCAAGAAGATCGCGCAGGTGGGTCCCGGCCCCGGCGACGACCTCGCGGCGTTCGCGAGGAGCGCGCAGATGATGGGCGAGACGCACCGAGAGTGCGAGTTTCAGTGGATTCGGATGTTTTGGCTGCAGGGCTCGCGGCACGCGGCGTCGCACTCGGCGTACTGGCGACAGAGGATCGCGGAGCTCACGCAAGCGTGGGACGCGATGGAGCTCGGGTATCGGTGGGCGTTGGACGCGCTGCGGGCGGGCGCGAGCACGGGCGCGATGCCCCTGCGCGCGTACGACGTCGTGTCGTACCTGCTGGAGGAGACGCGAGAGTTGCGGGCGGAGCACGCGCGGCGAAGCCGAGCGGGGGCGTACGAGGCGATGCCCGCGGACTGCCGCCCCGTGGACGAGCCGAAGTTTGACGAGAAGTCGCCGCTGCCGTTCGATCTGGGGCCCGTGTTGGCGACGCTCGCGGGGTGGAGGAGAGACGCGGAACGCGCGCAGACGACGACGACGGAGGGGGGATCGAAGACGAAGAAAGGGAAGCCCGGGAAAGGGTCGAAACGTCGGTAGACTATTATGAGATAGAGAGGGCTAGGACGTGCCGTAGACGAGGTACGAAGTAGCGGTATCGTTTATCGCGCGCGTATTTTACGTTGAAAGAATTCTTACTATAGACAAGCCGACGAGAAGAAATTCGCTCTTCTCTTCTCGCGGGCGTCGGCGGGGGTTCGTCGTCGAGTCCGGTCCGGTCCCGTCTCTCTTCTTCGTCGATCCGATCGTCGTTCGCTCGTCGCCGAGCTCGAGCTCTTCCTCCGTCACTTCCCGCCCTTCCCACCCTTCTCCCCCGCGCCCGCCCCCGCGGCGTTTGGCGCGCCCTGGGTCGTCGCGGGATCCCCCCCGTTCCTCTCCCCGTCGTTGCTCTCGTCCCCGCTGCTCGGGCGCTCGCACGAGTCTGGACGCGCGGCGTCGTCGTCCCCGCCATCGTCCCCGCCGCTGCCGCCGCCGCTACCGCCCGCGCCCGCGTCGGCGATGCCCCCGGAGGGTCCGCGGGTGATCTCGTCGCTCGGCCTCGCGCCAGTGACGACGACGCCGCCGGTGGTCTTCGTCGCGCCGCCGCCGCCGCCGCCGGAGCCGGAGTCGGTCCGCGCGCGCGCGTCGCGTTCGCCCCCCGCGCCCGAGCCCTGCCCGCTCCCGTCGCCGCTGCCGTTGCGTTCGCCGTCGCTGCCGCCGCCGTCGCTCCCGCCGCCGCCGGAGCCCTTCTCCGAGGTCTGATGGCCCTTCCCGGACCCGTCGCTCCCGCCGCCGGATCCGTCCGCGCTCCCGCCGTCGCCGCTGTTATCCTTCGCGTCGCGACGCTTCGCGTCGCCGTCGCCGTCGTCGCCGACGCCGCCGCCGCTGCCGTCGCCCTCGCTCCCGCCGCCGCTCCCGCCGCCCTCGCCGCTCGGCGAGTTCTCCATCGTGCTCTCGCTGCAGCCGCCGTGGAGCCGCTTGAGGTAGAGCCGGTACTTTTGAAGGTGCGACGCGACGTTCTCTCGCGTCAAACCGTCGACGTTCATGAGTTGCATGATCGTCTTCGGCACCGCGTTGCGAATGCCGAGGTGCGAAACCGCGTCGACGAATCGCTTGTGAAGCGGCGGCGTCCAGACGAGCCGCGGGCGTTTCAGCGCCTGCGCGTCGTCTTCGGAGCCTGTTGGGGGGGGGAGGAGTGTTAGGAGTGTTCGCGTTCGTTTCGTTCGGGGTCAGAGAGACGCTCGGGACGGCGGGTGGGACGAAAAAGCGTCGAGACGCGAAAAAGCGCAGATTTCAGATTCTGTTTGAGATATTTTCGGTTCGGGGGGGACACGACGACATCTCGCGCGCGCCGCGTCGGGACGCACCGTCCAGGTGGTGCGACATCGCTTCCTCTCTCGATCGCTTGAACGCCTCGAACGATCGCGAGTGCTCGACGCCGGCTTGATACGCCATCATCTGCTCGTACGACACGCTCGGATCCATGTGGCCTGGCGCGGGGAGGGAGAGGTCAGGACGCGACGAGAGCGACGATTTCTTTTTTCTAGAAAATATCTCTTTCGAGAAGGGGAGAGAAGAAAGAAAGTGGACCGATTTCGACGCGACCCCTCCGCGCTTCGTCGCGCCGCGGAGATCGCGAAGCGAGCGAAACGAGCGGTGGTCGACGCACCTTGCGCCGCGCCGATGCCAGGCCCCGCGTCCGGCCGCCTGCCGTACATCTCGTGCGGGTACATCCCCCGCGGATGCCCCCCTCCCTGGGCGTTCGAAAACGCGTTCGCGTTCCACTGCGCCAGCCCGTGGTAGCCGTACATGTTCGATATCGCCGCGGCCGCCGCGGCCGCGGCAGCCTGCTGCGCCTGCGCGTTCGCGTGCCCCGGCGCCCCCGGCTGTTGGTGCGCGAACCCTGCGTACGGCGGCGGCATCGGCGGCCGCGGCATCCCGGCGTTTGGATCGAAGTTCGCGGAGGGCGGCGCGTTGGTGTATTCCGATCCTCGAGACCCTCTGGAGTCGCGCGTGCCCCCGGAGACGGGCGGCGGCGGCGCGTGCGGGTACCGATACTGCGCGTTCATGAGCTGAATCCCGAACGCGGACGCCATCTGCGAGGAAAGCAGACGCGAGTCCGGCGGGGGGATGCTCGCGTCGATCGTCACCGCGCGCTTCCGCGCGGCCATCGCCCACTCCTCGGCTTCTTTCGCGAGGCTCTCGCCGCGCGCGTTTCCCTTTTCCGCATTCTGCGTCTCCTCCGCGGGCGCCTTCGCGCCCTCGGGCTTCATCGCGCGCGGTGCGATCGCGCGGTCGCGTGTGCGTGCGTGCGCGAAGTTCGAGCGCGTGCGTGCGGTCGACGACGCGGCGCGCGTCCAGTGTGTGCGTCCCCGCTCGCGCGGCGTCCCAGGTTGCGAAACCAGCATCCGAACGAAGGCGACGCATCAAAATCAGATTTTCACCCCGAAAAAATCCCGTCCGTGCGCTTTTTACTCGAGGTTTTACTCGCAAAGAGCGGCGCTGCGTCGCAAGTCGTTAAAAATCTCCGCTTTTTCGGCCACGTCAGCCCGTGACGCAGAATATCTCTCGCTGATCTGACACACAGACTGCAGACGGTTATCGACGCACTAGTTGAGGCGAGCTAACAACCCCGCGCACACCCCCGATACACCGCGCGCGATACACCCGACGATGACGAAAGCGAACAACAACCACGAGGCGAAAGGCGAAGGCCGCTCGAACCTTCACGGCCCGTTCAAGTGCCAGGACTGCGGTGCGCGCCGCGCGTCCGCCGCGCGCGCTCGGCCAACCTCCCCTCTCGCGTCATCCTCCGAGAGTCTGACGTCAGCATTCGTTCGCGCGTCGTCATCGCTCGCGCTCCCTCCCCGACGCGTCGACAGGCGAATCGCGGAACAAGTCTGAGTTCTCGCAGCGGCAGCTTCACTTGCCCGTCAAGCAGCACATGTCCTGCCGCCACTGCAACGAGGCGGAGAAGTTCGAACGCAAGGAGGAGCGAAGGAAGTCCCTGGAGATGGGAAAGCAGTTCGCGGAGGTCAAGTCCGGCGAGATTCACAACAAAGGCCGCGCGACGCACCAGAACTTCGTGTCGCATTCGAACGTCGCGTGAGCGCGCGCGATGCGCGGAGCGCGTCGACGACGGAGACACGACGCGCGTGAGGGGATATCATCTCGGTATCGCTTCGCGCGCGCCGGTGACGTCGCCGCGAAGAAACCCGCGGAGACGCGTGCCTTCCTCGAGCCACGACGCGCCCAAAAAAAAAATGCACATGCGCGACGAAATAGAAAAACGCCGCCCTGCCGCCGTTGAATACGAGTGACGTCTGTCGTCTGTTTCCATCATCATCAGTCGCATCGCGAGTCCGCCCGTCGTACCGTACGCGTAGTCGTCGTCTAGTCTAGTCTATTCTTCTTCGCTCGTGTCGTCGTGGACGCGCATCGCATCGCGCATCGCGCATCGCCGCTTCGCTCTTCCTTCTTCGCTCTTCGTCACCCGCCTCCTCCCGCCGAAACCGCCACGGTCTTCTCCCCGTCGTCGTCTGGTCTGTCCGTCCATCATATGCGCGCATGGGACACCTGCACCACCGGCTCGCGACACGTCGGACACAGCGCGTCTGTCTTCCCCTTCATCTCCGCGCGTTTCATCAGCGCGGTCGCGCAGCCCATGCACAGGTTCGCGTGCCCGCACGGCACGAGCACTGAAAGCGACGTCGGGACGGCGTTCAAAGGCGTCAGACGATGGAGTTGAAAGGCGTCGAGGGAGGTGTGTCGGGATTGAAACCGAGGGGTGGGCGGAGAGAAACGACGGGAGAGAAAGTCCTTAAGGATCGGCGTTCACCACGCCGACGGGGTCGTATGGGGACCAGTGTGAGGAGGACGCGCCCGACGCTCGCGGCGCGTCGAGGCACACGATGCACTCCGTCTCCGGCGCGTCGTCTCCGACGGCGCCGACGCTCTCGTGGTCGTAGCACGAGTCCGTGGAGAAGCTGCTGGGCGCGTCGTGGGCGGCGTATCCGCGTCCGCGTCCGTGTCCGTATCCGCCGCCGGACGACGGCGGCGTGTGATTGGTCGCGTCGGAGAAAGCGTCCACGGATCCGTCGGAGAGAGGGACGCCCATCGCGGCGAGGAGCGCGTCGCGTTCGCGCTCCGCCGCGGAGCGACGACGCTCCGCCGCAGCGGGAGGGGCTGCCGCGCGCGACCGACCGGGACTGCGACCGGGACCCGGACCGGAAGCCTCCGCGCGCGCGGCGCCGGCGGCGCCGGCGGCGCCGACGATCACCGGGCACCCTCGCGTCGGATTCAACCCGTGCGAGTAGGCGCACTTCTCGCCGTCGTTACACTTCCCCGCCCGCCCGAAGAAGTGCGCGCACGGGTTCGTGATCCCGTGCGCTTCGACGTACCCCTCGTGGTCCACGCCCTTCCACTTCCACCGCGGGTCGTCGTCGCCGTGAAGAAAGTGGCACCGCGCGCCGACGGGACATCTCCCCCCTCGCCGCGCCCAGTGCCGGCACTCCTCCGGGGTCGGGAAATGCTCGCGCCGCCTCGCCGAGCCCGTCGGCATCGTCGCGATCGCTGGCTGCTCGACGCGATAGACTTGGAGGTCGCGATGACGCGTCGGCGGCGCGGGCGTCGGCGGCGCGAACGAGTCCATCTCGCGGAGAAGGTCGGCCACGTCCGGCGCCGTCGAACGCCGCGCGACGGGGCCCTGGCCTTTCGGCGGTTTTCGCGGCGGCGCGGCGTTTTCTCGCGGCGCGCTTTTCCGCGGGCCCCCGCGCCGCGGCGGCGGCTCCGGGGCTGCCGGTGGCGGCGGCGGCGGCGGCTCGACCGCGACGCCGCCGTCCATCAGCGCGTCGATCGCCGCGGAGACGTTCCCGCCGTTCCTCGCGAGCGCCTCGCGCGACGACGCGGCGTCGAACCCCATCTCGATCAGCGTCCCGAGAGACGCGTCGCTGACCGCCGACGCCGCGTCGTCGTCGGGCGGCGGCGAATAGAGAGGCGTGAGCGACGCGGCGGCGGACGAGGCGGCGGCGTCGTGCGCGGCGCGTTGTCTCGCGAGCGTCTCCGTCGATACGGTCGTTCCCGAGGGAGGGCGTCGAATGAGATCGAGAGTACGTAGAGGAAAGGGGCGAGACAGAGAGAGAGAAAGAGAGAAAGAGAAAGAGAAAGAGGGAGCCTCACCCATCATGGCGTCCGCGCGCGCGCGCTCCGCGTCGGCGAGCTCCTTCGCCGCCTTTTGCCTCGCGCGCTTCGCCGCGGACTTGCTCAGCGTCGCGCCGCCGCTCGCGGACGACTCGCCGTTCGCCTTCGCGCCCTCCCGCCTCTCGCGCGCCTCGCGCGCAGCCTTGGCGGACTGCGCGGCGCGCGACGCCTCCGCGGCGGCGGCGGCGGCGGCGGCGGCGTTCTCTCGAGAGATTTTCTCCAGCCGCTCGCGCGTCTCGTTCCTGCGTCGCGCCTCCGCGCGCGCTTCCTCGTTCGCCTTCCTCGCCGCTTCCTCGCGCGCTCTCCTGCGCGCGTTCTTCTCCGCGTCGATCGCGTCTTCCTCCGCCTTCCTCGCGCGCTCCTCCGCGCGCGCCGCGCGTTGGCGCTCCTCCCTCTCCGCGCGTCGACGCTCCGTCGCCGCCGCCGCAGCCGCCGCTACCCTCGCCTCGGGCGTGTTCTTCAGCCGCGTCATCGTCGCCTTCGCGCGCTCGCACGCGGCGCCCGCGTCCCGTATCCCCGTCTCCAGACGCCTCGCGAGGTCTCGCAGCGCGTCCGGCCCGGGCGCGCCGGCGCCGTACGGCCAGCCGCGCATCGGGCGCCATGACGACGGCCCGGGCGCGCCGTCCGCCGCCTCTGCCGCGAGCGAATCCCGCCACCGCGTCGCCGCCTTCTCCGCGAGCGTCGTCACCCTCGACCAGTGCGCCACCGAGTCCGCTCGGAGCGTCTCCCACTCGCGCGCCGCGCGCTCGAGGTTCGCGTACAGGCTGTGGCCGTTCGTGTGCGTCGCCGAGCGCTCGAAAGCGGCCGCCGCGGCGTGCGCGTCGGCGCTGCATTTCGCCGACGCGGAGAAGAGCGCGTCGGCGACGAGGCACGGGAGGCCCCAGACGACGCCGCTCTCGGAAGATTAAACGTCAACCGACGCTCCCGTCATGACGCGGACGATCTTGGACACGAGACCGCCGCCGCCGCCGCAGCCCGCCCCGCCGCCGCCGCCGGGGCCCCGGGCGGGCCACGCGACGCGGTCAGCCTCCGCGTCCGCCGCCGCCGCGACGACGCGGGACGCCTCGAGCCAGGCCCCCATCTGCGACTCGTACGGCGCGATCTTCCCTCGGCGCGCGCGCGCGAGCTCGGCGCGATCTAACGCTTCGCGCTCGAGCGTTTCCGCGCGGGTTAACGTCGCCGCGTTCACGAGATGGCCTTTCGCGTCGCGCTCGACGCTCGAGCGCATGGCCCGTTCCGCGTCCCATCGCTTTTTTGAGTAAAGCGCGGCGCTCGGTCTGGGCGGCGTCCGCGTCCAACCCGTTCTTCCTCGCGCGCCCATCGTGCGCGCCCAGCGCGTGCTCGCTCATGACGTAACGCGCGAGGTCTCCCGAGAGGCGCTTCACCGCGGCCGCGAGCAACTTGTACGTGTACACGTGGCAGTATTTCATTCGCGCCGCGAGCTCCGACGCGGCGACGGTGGCTCCCGTCGACGCGTTCGCCCACCCCTCGTCCGTTGGTCGCCACCCTTTACTCGTGATGTTGTTCACGAACGCCGCGAGGTCGTTCACCGGCCGCACGCGTCGATCGATCGCGTCCGCGTACTCGCGCTCGATCCGCGCGAGGGCGCCCACGGGATCGACCGGGCGCGCGGCGGCGGCGGCGGCGGCGTCGTCGTTGTCGTCGTCGTCGCCACCGCCGCTCCCGAGCGTGGTCTCCGACCGCATCGACCACTCGCCGACGCCCGCGCCGTTCACCGCGCGCACGCGGATCGCGTGACGCCCCTCTCGAAGTTCCACGACCCCGTGCGACGCCGGCTCGACCTCGAACGTCCGCTCGTTCCGCACCCCGGGGAACCGCCCGACGCGCGCGAAGGCGTCGCCGCCGCCGCCGCCGCCACCACCGCCTCGACAGGCTTCCACTTCGAACGCGTCCGGCGCGCCCGCGTGCGCGCCCGCGCTGATGAAGAAGTGCACGCGCACCTTTAAACTTCTTCGTCCCTCCGTCCGCGACCCGATGGAACGCGTCGCCGACGAGCTCCAGGACCGGCGTCCGGCACGGGTTCGGCTTGTTCCCGTGCAGCCGGTGGGCGCGCGCGGCTCGCCCCGACCCGTCTTCTTCCACGTCGCGCGCCGCCTTGACCGCGCGCAGCTTCTCCGCGTTCTTCGCGAACTGCGCTGCCACCTTCCCGCCGCGTTCCTCCGCGCGGACGCCCCTCCCCGTGGCCTCGCGGCGCTCCGTCGCGCGCTTGCTCTCGTACAGCGACGCGGAGCGCTGTTTCATGCGCTCTTGGTTTTCGAGCTCGCGGCGACGCTCGTCCTCGGCGCGCGCGCGGAAATCGGAAAACTGTCGCTCCTCGCGTTCCATCCCCGCGGCGTCGACCTCGCCGTCGCCGCCGCGCGCGGCCCTGCGCGCGCGGCCGCGTCAGCGGCGCGCGTTTCCCGCGCGCGCTCGTCCGCCTTCCACTTCGCGTCGTCGCACAACACGAGGTACTTGCGACGTTTCAGCGGGTCGTAGAGGACGTCTCGCGCGTGCTTCGCCCTCGCGACGGATACGTCGGTGTCGTCGGCGTCCGCCGCGCCTCGCTGTTTGTCCACGTGGAGCGCTTTCGCGATCTTTTGGAACGCCGCGCGCGCGATGGAACGGATCGCGACGTCCGCGGCGTTCGCGCGCGAGGTCGCGTCCGCGAAGTCCAGCTCGGCGGCGATGAACCGACGGCGGTCGTCGTCGAGTGGGACGGCGCCCGCCGCCGCCGCCGCCGCGGTCTCGGTCCCCCGGAGCTCCGCGCCCCTCGCCTTCGCGGCGGCGCGCAGAGCGTCCTCGAAGCTCAGGCCCGCGTGCTCGACCGCGCCGACGCGACGCGCGCTGCCGCCCGGCAGCGCGAACTGAGAGACGACGCCCGACCACGGCTGAGACGCGAGGAACGGTCTCGCGGCGTCGTCGCGCCACGGCAACGCGAGCGGCGGCGCCGCGAGCCTCTCTTCAGCGATCTCTTCGGCGCCCAGGCGACGCGGCGTCGCCGTGGTGACGCCGCGCGGCGGGAAGAGCCTCCGCGGCGTCCGCCGCCGCCGCCGCCCCCGACGCCGCCGCCCGCGGTCCCGTCCCCGCCGCCGCCGGCGTCTCGCGCGATGTTTTTTCCATCCTCGAGGCCTCTTTTCGACTTTTCTTCGCCTTTTCCAGCCTCCGCGCGTGGACTTCGAGGACGTCCTCGCGCGCCGCCTCCACGTTTTCTTCAGCCACGATCTGGCACGTCACCCACTTCCAGAACCTATCGCGCAGGTCCTCCCCGACCGCGGCGGCCGCGCGCGACGGGGTCCAGAACGCGCCGGCGGCGGCGGCGGCGGCGGCCGCCGAGGCCGAGCTCTCTGCACAGCTGCAAGCCTTCCGACGCGCGTCGGATCTTCGCGCGCGCGTGGTCCGACGTCGACGCCTTCCCGTCGGGGAAGACGCGCGCGCAGATGGAACGGGACGACACCGGAGCGTTCGTGAGCGGGTCCACGGGCGGCGGAGGCGCCGCGGTCACCGACGGCGCCGCCGCGAGGAGCGTCATCGCATCCCCGTAGTGATCGTGCGAGCCCGTCGCCTCGTCCTTCGACGCTAGCGCGCACGCGAAGTCCGCGGCGACCAAGACCCGAACGCCCTTCGCTAAGGCGTCGTCAGGGTTTTTTATCAGAGGCGCGAGCACCGGCAAGACGTCGAGCGTGTACACGTACCCGTATGCCGCATGTGGGTTGACCGCGCGGCGGTGTGTGTTGACCGCGTCGATCGCGCGCACGATCGCAGACCCCTCCTTGGACGTCAGCCTCAAGTACGTGCGCGCGACGTTGAGCCACTGGAACGCGGCGTCGGACTCCTCGTTAGGATCGTCCGCATCGAGCGCCGCGGACCAAGCCTGTGCAGAAGAGAGAGAGAGAGAGAGAGAGAGAGGGCGAGGATGGGACGAGGGGGCGATGAGCTTTCCGCGCGACGACTGGAGGGAGGCGAAGAGACTCTTTCACGTCGGACGCGACGAGATGCGGTCGCCGACGCGCACCTGGACCGCGGCCGCGAGCTCTAACTCCATCTCTCGCGCTCGCGTTTCCGTCTCGACATCCGCGACGACGTCCTCGTCCTCGGTTAACGCCACCATCGCGGCCACCGCGTTTGGGCGCCCCCAGATCTGAACGCCATCTCGAACAGAAGTTTTCTGTTGTCGAGTTTCGAAAAAACGAGCGCGCGAACTGTCGCCATCGAAGTGACTCCTCCGCGCGCGCGTCGTCGTCGTCGTCGTCGTCGTCGTCGTCGTCGTCGTCTCGTCGTCGTCGTTCGCGCGGAATGTCCGCCGCGGCGACAGCGCCGTCGCGCGTGCTGCCAACGCGGCGGCGAGGCCCATCGCGCGCGCGCGCGTCGTCGTCCTCGTCGTCGTCGTCGTCCTCCTCCTCCCCCTCCTCCGTCGCCTTGCCCGCGTTCGCCGGGGGATGGCGCGGGCGAGACCTCGCCGCGGACCCGTCGCGCTGGACGCACGTCCTCACGTCCGACGAGATCGCGGAGCTGGACGACGCGCTGCGACGCGCGCGCGCCGGCGGCGTGGACGTCATCGACCTCACCCCCGAGACGTTCCCTCTGCCGACGCTCGCCCCGCGCCTCCGTCGCATGCGCGACGACCTCGTCCACGGCCTCGGCGTCTACCTCATCCGCGGCCTCCCCGTGGAGCGATACGACCGCTGGGAGACGTGCGCGGCGTTCTACGGCATGGGGACGCACATGGGGTGGGCGTGTCCGCAGAACGCGGCGGGGCACGTCCTGGGGCACGTCCCTCGCACTGGTTCCCATACGACCGCGTCGGCGTGGTGAACGCCGTTTCTTAAGAACTTCGTCCGGCGTGTCTCTCCGCCCACCCTCGGTTTCAATACCCGACCGCGATGCCTTTCAACTCCAACTGACGCCTTTGAACGCCGCCCCGACGTCGATTTGAATGATGGAACGACCCTCAGGCACGTGAAGGATCTGGGACGCGATCCGAACGACCCGGCCACGCGGACGTACACCACCTCCGCGGCGCAGCCGTTCCACACGGACAGCGCGGACGTCGTGGGGCTGTGCTGTCTGAACAACGATGTCGTCGGGGGCGACTCCATGGTCGCGAGCGTCGTGGAGATTTGGAACAGGATGCGATCGGAGTCGCCCGCGGCGTTGCGGACGCTCGCGGAGCCGTTCCCGGTGGACCGAAAGGGCGAGATACCGCCCGGGTGCGGGCCGACGTACGACATGCCCGTGTTCCACGTGCATCGGGGTGACGGTTCGGGGAGTGAACCGGCGGAACCAACGCTGATGAACGCTGGACCCGAGTGGCTGCTGTCCGGGATATACGACCGGAACTTTATCGCGTCCGCGCAGGCGCGGTTCGACGTCGAAAACGACGGCGTCCCCAGGCTGACGTCCGCGCAAACCGAAGCCCTGGACGCGCTGGACGCGATGTGTTTGGACGACGACGTGTGCTTGCACATGCGCTTAGAGCCCGGGGACATTCAGTGGCTGCATAATCACACGACGCTGCACGCGCGGACGGCGTACGGCGTGGACCCCGGGGGGAGAGACGCGGGGGAACCGCCGCCGCGGCATCTGTTGCGACTGTGGATCACACCTCCGAATGCGCGGCCTCTGCCCGCGTCGTTCGCGACGCGGTTCGGGTCCGTGACCGTGGGGCCGGAGCGCGGGGGGATCCGCGTGGAGGGGCAGACGCCGTATTGCGCGTTAGAGCCGGGCGAGTAGTCGGAGCAGAGTCGACGCCTTAGAGCTAGCTAAGTTATGTAGAAGAGACTCGCGAGACACAGAAGTACTTCTGTACTTCCGTACGTATTTTGGAACCAAACCCCCCACGCGGGAGGTCATCTCGTAACAACGCTAGCGTCTACACGAGCCAAACGTCCGTAGTGGACGCGCGCACGCCGGCGCGCGTCCTCCGAACGCACCCGCGATCTCGCCCCCCCCCCCGTCGCGTCTTCTCGTCGACGAAAATATATTTTCGCCGCCTCGAAACCGCGAGAGGTCGCGGCGCGAAACCGCACACCCACCCAGCGGCTCTCTCTTCATCAAAGAGCCACACACAACTCCACACTTCCACCACGAATAGTACGCATCACTAGTAAAACACAAACAAGTGTTTCGCTCGCTTACTCTTCGACGTTCGTGGACCTGGTGTAAACCTGCTGCTTGGAGTGCATCGTCACCGGGCGGATGAGACCCTTCGCGATGAGAATCTGGATCGCCTTCCTCGCGAGAGAGCACGTGATGCGAAGGCGGTCGCAGAGGATCGAGATGGTGATCATCTTGTACTTCGGCACCTCCGCGAGGAGCTTGTCGTACGTGGACTGCTCGAAGAGGACCTGGTTGTTGGCCTTCTCCTTGTTCTTCCCCTTGGACCACTTCTTCTTCTTAGCCTTGCCGCCGGCCTGGGCCTTGGCGGCCTTGGCGGCCTTCGATTCAGGGGCTTTCGGCGGCTGCGAGGGCGAGGGGTTCGGGGGAGGTAGTCGTCAGCGTGATGCGCTCGCGATGTCAACGCCACGGCGACGGACTTGGGGAGCGCGCGAGGGAGGGTTTCCATCGAGACGGCCCCTCGCTCGAGGGAAAAGAAATGGACGAAACCCTAAAAAACCCGCGCGCTGGGGACGTCGCGGACGGCGCGCGCGCGACGGCGACGGCGTCGAATCGTGGATTCGGCGTCGCCGCGGCGTCGCGACGCGCGGCGCGGCGTCGCGGCGCGACGCGCGCGGCGTCGCGCGGCGTCGACGGCGTCGCGACGCGCGCGCGAAACCCCATCGTCCGCGCGCGCGCGCGCAGAGATTTCCCTCGCGAGCGAGATCGGAAACGCCGGAGACGCGCGCGGACGCGATCGTCGCGCGCGCCGCCGCCGCGACCGCGAGGGAGAACGACGGAGACGCGTGGAAGCGTGATGAGAAGACGCACCATCTTGACAACACCTGAGGTGAACCGTGCGGAGCACCACGCAAAGAGACCGGAGCCAGGGATGGGTAGGCCGCTAAATACTGGCGGTCGCGGTCGACTCGAAATTTTTTTCTCCGACCGCGCGGTGTGAGGCGAGTACCGTGTCGCACATGCAAACAGTAAGAGCGTACGAAAACGACGTAGTACGTACGAAAGTACGAAAGTACTCCCGTCGCATTAGCAGCGCACTTTTGTTGAGCGACAAAGTCGTCAGCCGGCGAGCGACGGGCGCGACTCTTCCTAACTAGGCGACGACCGTGGGAGACGTCGGCGCGTCCCACTCCGCGAGCTCCCCGTCATCGTCGTCGCCGCAGCGCCCCAGCGCTTCCACCTCCGCGACCGCCTCCTCGAGCTCGCGCGCCTCGCGCGCCTCGTACGCGTCGCGTCGATCGTTCTCATCGTCGTCGTCGTCCTCCTCCTCCTCCTCCTCCTCCTCCTCCTCCGCCGCGGCGAGCACGCACGCGAGCCCGACGTCCTCCATGTCCACCCCCGGGAGCTCCCGTAACACCCCCGCGACGAACTTCATGTCGCGAAGCAGCGCGCGGCGCTCCGCGCTCTCACGGCCGCTTTCGTCGCCGCCGTCGCGAGGGATGAAAAACGCGCACCCGGCGACGGCGGCGGGCCACGGCGGCGCGCGGAGGCGCTCCGCCGCTGACGTGGCCGCTGACGTGGCGCCCTCCTCGGCACCCTCCTCGGCACCCTCCTCCCCGTCGCCGTCGCTCCCGTCCTCTCCGAACCGCGCGGCGCGTATGGCGCTCAGGTCGAGCCCCGCGTCGCCGTCGCCGCCGCTGCGGAAGAAGGCGCCCGCGCGCGAAAACATCCTCGCGGCGAGGCGCTCGATCTCGCTCTGGACGTCGAACTGCCCCGCGGCGCGGTCGCGGTCGCCGCGCGCGCGTCTTCTTCCGCCGTCGTTCAGTGACATCGCGTGCCTCGGTTGCCTCCTCGCGCCGTCGTCGTCGTCGTCGTCGTCATCGACGAGACTCGACAGCTCGCGTTCGCGCGGGACCTCGTACCCGAGCGCGCGCAACCGCCGCAAGCTCCGCTGGATGAACCCGTCGTTCCCGTCCGTCGTCGTCGTCGCGTCGTCGTCGTCGTCGTCGTCGTCGGCACGCGAGTCGGCACCCCCAGCGTCGGCGTTCCGCGTCGAGGCGCCCCGGAGGACGTCGACGGCGTCGGCGGCGTCGGCGGCGGCGGCGCGCGCGTCCGCGTACGCAGCCTCGAGCGCGTCGTCGTGGAACCGCCGCGCACGCCCCGCGTCGTCCTCTTCGTCTTCGTTCTCGTCTTCGTTCGCTTCTCCGTTCTCTTCTCCGTTCGCTTCCTCTTCCCCTTCCCTTTCCTCTTCCTCTTCGTCGTCGTCGTCGTCGTCGTCGTCGTCGTCGTCGTCGTCGTCGTCGTGGAGTCCGTACTCCCGGAGCAACCGCCGCGCTTCGCTGCTGTCGAAGATGTCCTCTTCTTCCATCTCCTCGGACTCGCTCGCGTCCGCCTCCGACGCGGACTCGACGTTTCTCGACGCCTCCTCCTCCATCGCCTCCTCCTCCTCCTCCTCCTCCTCCTCGTCCTCGTCTGGAGGCGCGGCGTCGACTTTCTCTTCCTCTTCCTCGTCGTCTACCTCCTCCTCGCTCTCCTCTTCATCCTCCTCCTCCTCCTCGAGCTCTTCTTCTTCATCCTCCGCGACGTCTTCTTCGAAAGCAGCTTCGCACGACGCCTCTGCCTCCGGCGGCGCGCGCGCGTCTTCCACGCGCGCCGCGTCCTCGTCCGCGGCGTCGTCGTCGGCGTCCGCGTCCGAGGAGGACGACGACGGCGAATCGAGATCCGCGTCTTCGTCGTCTTCGTCGTCGTCGTCCCGCGGCGTCGTCGCCGTCGCCGCGTCCGCGTCCTCCTTCGCGTCGCGCGCCGCCTCCTCGCGGCGCGCGCGGAGTATACCCTCGATTCGCGCCGCGCGCTGCTTCGTCGCCTCCGCCGCCGCGGCGTCGTCGTCGTCGTCGTCGCGCGTCGTCGTCGATTTCCCGCCCGCGGCCTCGGAGAATCGATACGACGACGGGGCGCCGCGCCTCCGCGGCGGCGTCGTCGGCGACGTCGCCGGCGCGCGGCGGACGAACTCGACGGGGGAGCCGACGATCGGGGGTAGCGGCGACGACGGCGGCGAGGACGCGCCCGCGCGGGCGGTCCTCGCGCGCGTCATCCGCGCGCCGAGAGAGTGACGAGACGTCGCGTCAACAACGACGCACGCGCGACCACGCGACGACATCGACAGCGACAGGTAACACCACCTGACCGCGAAGCGTGATCGGCGATAGCCACGTTTCATCGGGGGCGGCCGATCGGTCAAAGCGTATGGCGAGTCGATGAACGAGCCGGTGAAAATCTCAGACGGAAGAATCCAAAAAGCGAAAAGTGCTACCATCTCTCCACCCCCCCCCTCCGCGGGGGCTCCTCCTCCGGCGGCGCTCACGCCGGCGCGGCGGTCGCGTCCACGTACTGCATCCACGCGTCCGACACCCTCGGCCCCGGCGCGTTTCCTCCTCTCGCCATCGTTCCCTCCGCTCCCGCGCGCGACGGCGTTCCTCCCCCTCGGAAACCCTGAATCGTCGCGAGGACGCGGCGCGAATCCCCCACCCCGCCCGCGATCGTCGCGTCCGCCCCCGCGCCGCCGCCCGTCTTGCTCGCGTCCGCGGACTCCACGAGCATCGTCGCGGCCGCGAGGGTGACGAACGTCGCGAACGCCGCGCGCGCGACGCTCCCCGCGCTCGCGTCCTCTTCCGCCCAGCGATCGCCCCCGACGCGCGCGCGCGCCCCCGACTCTCCGTCGTCGCTCTCCTCGAAAAAGTATCCCGCGGCTTGTAACGCGTCGTCGTCTCGAACCGTGGTGATCATCGCCGCGCGATTGCCGCGCGTCGCGTTCGCGGCGGTTCGCGCGCCGCGGCGCGCGAGCGAGCGCGCGCGGGGGGGAAGAACTCGCGCGGAGGTCGCGGACGATGCGGTCGTCATGGCCGCGTGCGCGCGCGCGAGAATGGCGGCGAACTAACATCGATAAAATTCAATCGTCGTTCCCAGCTTGGGCCATTCCATGCAAAAAAAAGTTCACGGGTCAGCTGAAAGGGGGCGCGATCAAATGTTGAAACCGAGGGATGGGTGAAAAACGTTTGCACTGAACGCACCTCAGTTCGAAATCAGAGCGGTGCGTTCTTTTGGTCCTTTCACCTCCTGTCGTTCCCGCGTCGACAACCGCGGTGCCGATCACTTCGAGCCGCGCGGCGGTGAGGTCGCGCGGTGACCGGGCGACGTCCGAGAAGCGGCGATGGCCGCGGCGAGTCGTTCCATCCGACGATTCGTCGTCTTCGTCTTCGTCGTCGTCTTCGTCGTCGCGATGGCGTCGAGCGCGTTCGTCCCGACGCCCCGAGCGGAGATCGTCGTTCTGGGATCCCATTACGAGCCTTCCTCCCGAGCGGCCCCGGTGGTGCCGACGTCGCCGCGCGCGACATCGTCCTCGTCGCCGCCTCCTCGGCCGCCGCCTGTACCGGCGCCTCCGACGGCGCCTCCTGTACCGGCGCCTCCGACGCCGCCTCCGCCTCCGCAGAAGGAAGGATTCGCGCGGTGCGCGATGCCGCCGTGCTCGCGAGACGCGAACTGCACGCTCACGATCTGCTGCCGCGACGTCCTGCAAGAGATCCTCAACGCGACCGAGGCGTACTTGCGAGAGATGCGCGTTCCGCACTACGCCGTCTTCGGCACGCTCCTCGGCGGGATCCGGTCGAACGCCATCATCGAGTACACCTCGGACGTCGACATCGCGGTCGAGCACGACGCGCTGGAGACGATCGAGAATATGTCGTCGTGGAACCCGCGGTTTCACGCGTGGAGGTGCGTCCGTCCCGGTCGCGTCGCGATGGACGCGCACCGTCCCCCCCGCGCGCGTTTCGTTTCGTTTCATTTCGTTTCTCTCCCCCCACCCGCCCCTCGCTGCTTTCGATCCCGACGCGTCCATCCCGACGCCTCTCATCGACTCCTTCTGACGCGCCCCCGCGCTCCCTCCCGCGTGGAACCGACGACCCCGCCCGCGCGCCCGCAGAGAAACCGAAGAGGTCGCGAGGTTATGCATCGTCGACGAGACGTCCCCCGGCGCGAGGACCTGGGCGAGCGCGGGCCAAGAAGTCACGGGGTGGTCCACGGTCCCGGCGTACATGGACCTGTACGTGGCGAGGCACTTCAACGACACCGCGGACGGAGGGAGGAAGAAGACGACGTTTCGGGCCGTGAAGGCGTGCGCGTTCGACGAGGAGGATATATACGGCGCGGAGGGAGACGCGCGATTCGGGGAGGTGTCGATAGGCGGGACGCTCGTGCCGACGCCGGCGCGCCCCGAGAAGATCTTGAGGCAGATATACGGAGACGCGTGGATGACGCCCACGGGGAGCGGCGGCCACGGCGTCAACGTCAGTGGGTATTGTAAGGATGAGTGGTAGCGTAGCTCGCTCCTGCTCCAGTCGTCGCGCCTGCGCCGAGTGGCATGGCAATGCCCTATTTTTCCGAGCAAACAATCGTCGGCGGTTTCGAGAGGCGCGCCGGAGTGTTCATGGCGCCGTCGACGGCGCACGGCGCGGACCGGTTCGCGTCCGCGGCGACGCTGCTGCTCGCCGCGGGCGCGGTCACCGCGGGCGCGATCTACTTCGGCCCCGTCGCCCTCGGCGCCGCGGCGTACGGCGCGCATCGTCGACGTCGTGGTGATCATTTCGCGCACCCTCGACGCGGCCGCGCGGTCTCGCGCGAGGATTGGCACGCGGCGCAGGACAGAGACGGGCGCGTGAGCGACGCCGCAGCCTCGGAGCTGCGCGCCAAAGTCATGAACGGCGGCGTCGAGCCCGCGGTGCGCGCGGAGGCGTGGCCGATGCTCCTCGGCACGCGCGCGACCGCGTCCACCGCGACGGAGCTGGAGCAATCGCGCCGTCGTCGTCGCGAAGCGTACCGCGCGCTCGTTTCGCGCGTCGACGCGCTGTCCGAGATGCTGAGAGGCGCGAGCGTGGGACGGCGGCGGAGCATGGACGGGCCGCCGCCGGACGAGTTGGGCGTCTTCACCGAGAGCGACCGGGTCATCGCCGCGGACGTCCCGCGGACGCCGATGGACGCGTCGTCGGCGTTCGCGACCGCGTGCGCCGCCGACGCGGAGGACGCGGCGGCGGAGGACGACCGGAGAGCGGCGGCGGCGGCGGCGGCGGATCCGGAATCTGATTCGTTTATTCGTCGGGGATATGATTCGTCGGCGCCGTCGACGAGCGAATCCGACGTCGACGCGTGGCGCGTCGCTCAGAGCACGCGTCTGCGGGAGCTCCTGCGCGCGTTCGCGTTGTACGACGAAGCCGTCGGGTACTGCCAGGGCATGAACGAGATCGCGTGCGTGTTTTTGGATAACATAACGGACGCCTCCGAGGCGTTTTGGTGCTTCGTCGAGTTCATCAGAGGCCCGTACAGATCGCACTTCATCATACACAAGACCGGCGGCGGCAGCGGCGCGACGAGCGGCCGCGCGGAGGGGATCCGGGACCGTCTAATTTTGATCGGGAAGATCATCGCCGCGAGCGACGCGGCTTTGTGGAGGCACCTCAAGGCGCTCGGCGACGGCGATTGCATCTTCGCGTTCCGAGCGTGCGTCGTGTTGATGCTTCGAGAGCTTCCCAAGGAGGAGGCGGTGTACGTGTGGGAGGCGCTGATGGCGAGCGGGGATCACGTGGGAGGAGTTGGAGGAGGAGGAGGAGGAGGAGGAGGAGGAGGGGGAGGAGGGGGGAATCGCGACGGCGGCGGCGGCGGCGGCGGCGACGTCCCCGGGTCGCTTCTTCTTCGCGTCCTCGCCGCGTTTTTCTTGCAGTCGCGGAGCGCGCTCATGGGATGCAAGACGTACGACGACCTGCTGCTCGTCTCGCAGCGGCTAGGGAGCGGCGTGAAGGTGAGCGCGAGCGCGTTGCTCGCCGCGGCGGCAAAGTTGAAGCTTCCTCCTCGGTGACGACGGGATCGGGAGCGGGAGTGGGATTTTTCTCGAGGCTACGATGGTTGATTGAATAAAAGAATACTGTAGACCTCCGCCGAGCGCTCGCGCTCGTCTCGCCGCCGCTCACTCACTCGTCGCCGCCGCTCGCGAAATAATTCGGCCGGTCCCCCACCGCGTACTCCCCCCTGAGATCTTTCGGCGAGAACGCGACGCCGCCCTCCGCGACCATCCCGGACGTCGCGCCCGTCAAGTCCACGACGCGAACCTCCCCGAGCGCGAACGGGTAATCCAAATGATGCCGACGCAAGTCCGTGCCCATGAGCGCCGCGGTGAACAGCGACAGCGTGTCTTGATGCGACACCAGAATCACGTCCTCGCCGAAATACGTCGACTCCAGGCGCGTGAAACACTCCAACGCGCGGCGGAAGAGGTCCCTGGGGGACTCCACGGAAGCGGAGGGCTGCAGCGACGCCGGCACCGGCGGCGGCGTGTTCAACGCGTCTAAAGCGTCCCCGTCCCACACCGCCTGGTGCGCGTCCTCGCTCCCACCGTCCAGCGCGCCCATCTTCCGCGGGTCCAGAAGCCCGCTGAACTCCGTGCGCAGCTGCGAGAAGAGCAGCCCGAAGTCCTCGCGCAGGATGAGCGACGACTGAGGGTCGAGGGTCCATGCGAGCGAACGTCGGGGTGGAGTTGAAAGGCGTCAGTTGGAGTTGAAAGGCGTCGAGGTCGGGGATTGAAACCAAACCGAGGGGTGGGCGGAGAGATGCGCGCGAGGGCAAAAGTCCTTGGCGTTCACCACGCCGACGCGGCCGTACTGTAGCCGTATGGGGACCAGTGTACACTATAGAACGCGCCTGAAAACTCCGCTGAAAGTTTGACGTGTACAGCCACGACGGCGCGGCGTCGTGCTCCTCGATCATCACGCGCGCCGCCTCGTGCATCTGCTCGATCCCTCTCGGGGTGAGCCCGTACGTCGTGTCGTACTTGAACGACGGGTTCGACAGCACGAGCGATCGCGTATCGAGCGTGCTCTCGCCGTGACGGACGAGGAAGTAGCGGTTGTGCAGGCGCGACGGGAGGTCGATGAACGCGCGCGCGGGATCGGGACGCAGGATGCCGCCGGTCGTCGTCGCGGCGCTCGCGGTCAGCGCGCCCGCGCCGAGGAGGAGGCTCCGGCGCGACGGCGACGTCGAGGGGTGGTCGTCGCGGCGGCGGCGGCGGCGGCGGCGCGCGTCGTCCGCGGCGTCGTCGGCGACGCCGCGCGAGGCGTCGTCGTCGGATTCGCGCGAGCGATCGATGTCCGATGCGCTGGCGCCCGCGATCACGCGCGCGGCGCGCTCTCGTCTCGACGCGTCGCACGACGCGCGACGCGGCGCGATCGCCGCCGCGACCGCGACCGTCGCGGAGGACATGCCCGACCGCGGTGGGCGAGTCCCCGCGGCGACGTCCGAGATTGCGGAGAGAGTGTGACGCCCGGGAGCGCGCGTGGAGTCGGCACGGTTGAGCGTGACAGATGGCACTTGACAGATTGTCTCGTTCAGGCTGGGTACTTTACGGAATTCCGTCCCTTCCGGGCGAAAAACTGAGAATTTTTCCCTATGGGCAATTGGTTAGGCGTAATCTCCAAGATATACAGTTGACAATTGTTTTGTAGATTTTATACTAGTATCGGTGCTGTTTACTTTGTTAAATCTTGCAGGTAAATCAATTTTCGCAGTGTAAGGAAAGGATAATCCACCATCCGTTCATTATTAAATTACAACGTCTTTTTCAGTATCAAGATTTTCTTATTTATTTATATCTATTTATATATTTTCTTTGATTGAGATTTGATGATAAATTGATGTCCAGTTGGAAACATCAGATCCACCACATGTGGCTGAAAATGAGACCGAAGATGGCTACGGCCAAACCAGACGTCAGCGATGCGAAGAAGTGATAAACCCCCCGCGCAACCATCATAGATATTCAGATCCAAACCAAATACTTCTTTTCGGAGAATACGCTTTGATGAAGATTGGGGAAACGAAATACACTATATTTGATCGCCGATATGTCGATGACGTCAAAGAATGCTCTTGGCACTTCTGTAATGGGTATGCCCAGCATAACGCGACGAAAAAATCGAAGGCAATGTTTGGTGAGAAGGGTGCTATTTGCTTGCACGAATTCATCCTGAAAAATTGCGAGAAGCGTCACGAACCCGACGGAAACATAAACATTGATCATAGAAACAGGTGTAAACAAGACAACCGGGCATGCAACTTGAGATACGCCACGATTGGGAATAACACCTCCAACAGGACTTATGAACGGATCCGCACCAATATCGATGCGCTCAACAAAGCGGGGATCCACGAGTTCTGGGAAATTCCTCTATGGGCAATTAGTTCGGTTTGCGCGCGCGCACGCGCGCGCCATCACGCGCGCGGCTGCGTGCGCCCGCGCGCGCGGCAGCGCCCACGCCTGGTGTACGAACGCGCCCGCCGCGTCTCGACTCGTGAGCCTCGAACGCGTCGCCTGGAGGACGCGGAGAGCTCGCGACCCTCAAAACACTGCGCTGTGATTCTCATCAGTTCCACCCGGCGACGACCTCCGGCCCTCCCTTCGTCACGCCGCACGCTCTCTCTCTCTGCAGAAGCGCCCTCTCGCGCGCTCGCAGCGCGCCGTCGCGCTCCGCGTGCGCGCGGAGCAAGAGCTTCGCGGCGATCTCGTGCTCCTTGATCGCGCTTCTCGCCTTCTCTCGCTCCTTCTCCGTCTTCCGAAGCTCCGCGCCGACGGTCGCCTTGAGGTCCGCGGCGGCCTTTTTCGCGCGCTCCTCCGCGGCGCGCTCCCTCTCTTTCAGCGCCGATTCGCGCTCTCTCAGCTTCTCGAGCTCCTCCGCGTGTCTCTCCTTGAGCTCCTCCGCGGCGTGTTTCTCGCGCTTCGCCTGCGTCTTCTCGCGCTCCGCGATCTTCTTCTCTCTCGCGTCGAGCTTCGCCTCGCGCTCGCGCAGGTCGTGGTCGTCTCTCGAGGCGTCCTCGGGCACGAGCTCCCCTAATTTCGCGAGAACGTCCATCTGCGCTTCGCGCTCGTCGCACGCCCTCTCGCGGCATTCCACCCCTTCTTCGCGGTAGCGGACGACCTCCTCGCGTTTACGGAGGATCTCGCTCTTGTCCGGGGTGGACGTCGACATCGCGACCGTGCGGGTGGTGGTCGCGCGCGCGATTGATTATGATCGGAGCCAAGCGCATTCTCGGTCTGGAAATCACTGTTCTAACTGTGTCAAGTCTCCGGGAAATTGCAGTGTCAGCTTCGATTTTTGGCGAGCGTGTGGACTGCGTAGTAGTCGAGCTTAAGCCGACGTCCTCGCGGGTTCATTCGGTTTGACTTTTCAAACAAACTACGCGCACGCGCACGGCAACTAAGGGCATCGTCATCGTCATCGCCACGAACGCGGACGTCTCGCCGCTCGCTCGCCTCGCCTCTTCGCGTCAACTTTTCATCATTTTTTCATTCTCTTTGTTTTTTTCACTCGACTTGGTCTCTCCCCGCGCCGTACACGATCGCCTCGAGCTTCCGTCGAATCATGAACCGCGCGCGCTTCGGCAACGCCTGAAACTCCCCCGTCGGCGTCATGAGCGCCTTGGCCGGCGACGCGAGCGCGTCGTACACGCCGAGCGCGACGAAGTGCTTGAACCAATCCAAGATCGGCCCCGCCCCGGCTTGCGCGAGGATGTTCGGCACGAAAAGCGGCTTCGTCAGCGTCATCGACACCAACGTCCGACCGAGCCCTTTGAACGTGACCACGTCCTGCAGAAACGGTCGCAGCACGTCGTCCCCGAGCGACTCCATGACGCCGAAGTTGATCGTCATGAGCGTGTTTATGAAGTCGCGGCGTCTCGGTTTCGAGTCGTACGGGACCATCATGCAACGCTGGAATAACCACGAGGCGGATAACGCGGGTTGGTAGTCGTTCACCGCGCGCAACGCGTCGCGGTCGAGCGCGTCCGCGTCCAACGCTTCCTCCACCGCGCCGACGATGCGCGTGAGGTGCCTCAAGATCGCGGCTAAACCGCCGAACGACAGCGGGGATTGTATCCCGCTTGCGTCGCCGATTTGCATCACGCGGTCGAAGTCCGTCCGCAACGGCGAGTCTCGGTACGTCGGAAACGTGCCGAAGAGGACGCGTTTCACGTTCACGTCTTCGATGGAGTTCAAGCCCTGATACTTCGGCATCAAGTCCCAGTAATCGTCCAGCATCGACGAAACGCTCGGCCGCTTCTCGTCCGCGTCCATGTACGTGAACATGTACGTCGTACGGTCCGTAGGGCCCGTGGACGCCGGAAACGCTTCCCAAAAGTACTGCCCGCGGTAATCCTCCTCGATGTCCGTGCACGTGTAAATCAGGTCCGCGCCGTCGTTGTTCTCGAACCCCTCCGCGCAGGACCCGACGACGACGCACACGCCGTCCGGCTTCATATCCCCGCGGATCTGTCGCACGATCGGCGACCCGAACCCCATGCAGTCGATGACCAAGCGCGCTCGAATCGGCGCGCCGTTGACGTCCAGTCGCGCGGCGTCGTCGAAAACTTCCACGCCGCCGAGAGTCGAGTTCTCGAAGACCACGCCGCCGGCGTCCTCGAACCTCTCGCGGCACCGCGCGACGAGCCTCTCGGGAGATATCCCCGTGTTCAGAATGTCCCTCGTCACGAGGTCCTTCGCCCCGCTGTTATGGAACCCGCACCGGATCGGGTTAAACTCGATCATCACGCACGCGTCCACGTCTTCCCGCGTCAACGCGCCCGCGTCCACCAGCGCCGCCGTCTCCGCCCTCGAGACGTTCCACTCCTGCGCGCGACCTCGCAGCGGCCCACGTTCGACGACCGCGACCTTGACGCCGCGGCGTTGCAGCGCGGTTGCGACGAGAATGCCGAGCGTGCCGCCGCACACGACGACGTCGAACGCGTCGGCGTCGTCGGCGGCGGCGGCGTCGTCGAATCCGGTCGTCGTCTCGCCGGGGTGCACGCGGACGTACGGCGTCGACGGCCGCGGCGGGAACTGCCCGGCGCGCGTCCTCGCCCACGCGGCGTCCAGGCCTTCCAGCGCCGCGAGCGTCGTGCGGCCGCCCGCGCCGAGCGCGGACGCGGACGACGACGATGACGACGCCTCGAGTCTCGTGAGGATGTCTCGCGTGCGATCGCTCGCGAACGACGTCGGCGTCGGCGTCGGCGTCGGCGTCGGCGTCGACCCGCCTCCGCCGCCTTCTCCTCCCGCGGCGGTCTCGGCCGCGGCGCGCGCGCGCGCGCGAGGCGAGCGCGACGTCCCGCGGACGCGGCGTCCGGCGAGCGGCGCGACGCGATCGCGGCGCGAGGAGGAGGACGTCGACGTCGACGTCGACGCGGCGGAAAGTCTCGTCGTCGCCGAGAGCGCCGAGAGCGACGTCATCGCTCGCGCGCGTCGCGCGTTCCCGACGTTCGCGCGCGCGTATCGCGCGGCGACGATATCGATCGTCCTTCTCGAGCGCGCGTGGACGTCACGCGAGCGCGTCGACGGCGCGCGCGTCCGCGTGTTGAGCGCGCTATGAAGATAAGATGAGTCGCAGTGAGCGCTCGCGAAAACAGCACAGGAAACGACGCTTCGAAAGAATAAATCATCACTCGGACGGGCCGAAGAAACCGCCGACGCCTCCTCTTCACCCGCCTCTCAGCTCGCCGTGCAATCGCGCGAGCTCCGGGGCGATGATATCCCGCAACCCGACCGGGTTGTCCACGTGCAGCCAGTGCCCCGCGTTCGCGAGCTCGTGATACTTGAGCACGCCCTTCCCCTCGTCTTTGCCGCCTAAAACTTCCAAAATCTCCGATCGCGCTCGAATAGTCTCCACTAAATCGCTCGGCCACCGCGCGGACCGCATCGCGCGCACGACGTGCACCTCCGTCCCAGACGGCGGGTCTAACGACGTCTGTAAGCACCCGTCGTCGCGCTGCGGAGGGAGGGGAGTGGGAGTGGGAGAGACGGGCGCGGAGGGAGGTCAGCGGCGACCGAGGGACGGAGACGACGCGCGAGTTTTGGATGTGGAACGGAACGAAATGACGAAACCGAAAAAACCGAAATTACGCCGTTCGCGTCCGCCGCCGCGCCGCACCTTGTACGCCGCGTACAGCGCCGCCGCGCCCTTCACGTCGAACGTCCACGTCAGCTTCGACATCGCCCCCGCGCTCGGATCGATCGGCACGAGGTTACTCCCGAGCCAGCTCACCAAGTCCGGCGGGAACGCGACGCCGCTCGACCGCAGCGCCGGCTCCAGGTCCTCCCTCGCGGCGAATTCGCGCGGCAACGCCGCGACCGTCTCGATGACTTTCTGCACGCTGTGCGGGTCCGCGTCCGGGGGCAAGTACGTCGGCACGGAGTCCAGCGACCACGTCTGGTGCGGCGGCGCGTCGGTCGCGTTCGCGTGGGCGGTCGCGCCGCCGCCGCGCGACGCCGCCGCCGCCGCCGCCGCCGCGCGCGCGACGTGCCTCAGCGCGACTTTGCCGCCGAGCGAGTGTCCGAGCACGGCGGCGACGGGCTCCGATCCCGACCGGCCGTGGGTTCGGAGGATGTGCCCCGCGACGGCCGCGACCGCGGACGCGGCGACGTCCACGGCGTCGACGCCGTCGCGGTCCGGGTCCGGGTTGCGGAGGGATCGTAACGCCAGGTCTGCGTGCGTTTTCCCGTGCCACACGTGATCCACGAGCGCGAATCGGAACGGCGCGCGCCGCTCCGCGAGCGACGACGACAGCGCGCGCGTGAACGTCCGCCAGTTCCTTCCCGCGCCCATGAGACCGTGGAGCACGAGCGCGATCGGCGCGTCGGACGCGTTCGGCGTCCCCGCGGGGGGTTCGATCATCTCGTACGCGAGCGGCGACGGCGACGACGACGACGACGACGACGACGACGACGCGGAGAGCCATCGGGGGGTGCCCAAAATTCCGCCGGCGACGCCGCGCCATCGACGACCGCGCGTCGCGCCCGCGAGCGCTCTCGCGATCCTCCCGGGGCCGCTCGCCGCCATGGTACCGCGCGTCCCTGAGCTAGGCGGGAGGGGGAAGAAGCGGCGGGGACGTGGAGGGCGCCCGCCGCGCGCGCGCGGATCTGAGGCGCGAAGCGACGCGCTCGGACTGGATGGTGATTTTCGTCCTCGTCCCCCCTGCCCGCAAAGTCGCGTGCCGTCAGAAACGCGCGCGCGGACTGGACCGCGGCCGTCGGCGGCGACGACGCGCTTTCCATGACGCGGTGACGCGACCGGGTCGCGAAGATCGAACACTTCCTCCAGCTCGCGCGGCGATGACGAACGACGACGACGGATGGGGATACGACGACGACGACGACGACGACGACGACGACGACGACGTCGACGCGCGCGACGAGGGAGATCTCATCAGACGCATCGATGCGGAGGGTGCCAACTCCGACGTCGCCGCGGCGCCTCATCGTCATCACCCATCCCCGGCGCCCGCCGCGCCTCCCCCTCCCACGAGCGCGTTCACGAACGCGTTCACGAACGCCAAGGCTGGGATGGAGGGCGTGGACAGAGAGATGGTCAAGCGCGTCGTGCACGACATGAGCGTGAACAGCGCGCACTTCGCCACGGAGTCGCGCAAAGAAGCCGCCGTCGAGGCGAAGATACTCGCGATGAAGAAACGCGCGGCGTCGATTCGCCCGTCCGCGCTCGCGACGATCAAAGCCGCCGTGGACGACCGCGTCGCGCGCATGGAAGCGTCGCGCGACCTCACGAAGACGTGGGTGCACGTGGACATGGACTCTTTCTTCGCGTCGGGTGCGTCCTCGCTCGTTACACTACGCCGGTCCCCGTGCGACCCCGTCCGCGCGGTGCGCGCCGTTCCTTAAGGACTTCGCCCGCGACGCCTCACGACTCATCATCCAACTGACGCGCCCCCGTGCTCCACCTCGACGTACCGTACGTCGCCTCGCGTGGACCCTCCCCTCCCTCGACCCTCAGTGCACATCCTCGAACGGCCAGAGCTGAGAGACGTTCCGATGGCCGTGGGAGGGATGTCGATGATCAGCACCGCCAACTACGCCGCGCGGAAGTTTGGCGTGCGCAGCGCGATGCCGGGGTTCATCGCGAAGAAGTTGTGTCCGCAGCTCGTGTTCGTGGACAGCGACTTCGCGAAGTATAAGCACTACGCGTCGCTCACGCGCGAGGTGTTTAAAGAGTACGACCCTCAGTTCGACGCCGGGAGCTTGGACGAGGCGTACCTCGAGATCAGCGCGTACTGCGCGGGGAAGTCGATGACGCCGGCCGACGTCGCGGAGGCGCTGCGGCGCGAGGTGAGGGAGAAGACGAAGCTGACGTGCAGCGCGGGCGTCGCGCCGACGCGACGCCTCGCGAAGGTGTGCTCCGACGCGAACAAGCCCGACGGTCAGATGGTGATCGAGCCGACGCGCGACGCCGTCGCGGCGCTGCTGTCGTCGCTCCCCGTGCGGAAAATCGGCGGCGTCGGGAAAGTGTTGGACCGAACGCTCGCCGCGTTCGGGATCGCGACGTGCGGCGACCTCCTCCGCGAGCGCGCGCTCGTCGTCGCGCTGTTCAGCGAGGTTCAGTCCGATTTTCTCCTCGGCGTCGCCATCGGCGTCGGCGGCGAGGCGCGCCCGGCGAGACCCCCCGGGTGGGCGCCGCAGCGGAAGAGCCTGTCGCAGGAGCGCACGTTCGCGCCGACGGCGGACGCGCGCGCGCTCGCGGCGAAGATCGCGGCGCTCGCGGAGGAAGTCGCCGCGGGGCTGGCGCGCGAGAACCTGCTGACGCGCACGGTCACGCTCAAGATGAAACGCGCGGACTTTGAAGTCGCGCAACGGCAGACGTCGCTTCCGCGTCCGACGAACGACGCGCAGACGATATCCGACGCGGCGCTGCGGCTGTTCCGGGGAGAGAAGAACACCCACGGGTCGTTGCGGTTGCTCGGCGTGAGAGCGAGCTCGTTGGAGATCGCGGGGGAACCGAGAGGCGCGCCCGCGGCTGGCCAGGCGAGAATCGACGCGTCGACGTTTTTTCAGCCGGCGGCGGCGGCGGCGGCGGACATCTCCGGGGACGACGACGACGCCGCCGCGACGTACGCGTGCGACGCGTGCGGCGGGAAGCGGATCCGCGAGGACGACCGCGCGGAGCACGAGGACTGGCACTTCGCGATGACGCTGCAGCGCGAGGAGCGGACGACGGCGATTTCCGCGGCGGGGCCCGCGACGCGCGGCGGCGGCGGCGGCGGCGGCGGCGGGAGAAGGGACGCGACCGCGAAGCGAAAACGTCCGAAAGACCAGCGGTCGCTTCTGTCGATGTTCGACCCGAAGCGATGACGCCGTACTGATGAGTACGAAGGTATAGCACATCATCGTAGACGTAGCATAGCGCGAATTCTTTTACAACAGAAACTACAACGCGACGAGACGGTCGTCACCCCCTGTTTCCCTTTTGCATCGTCCGCCACTTGTCCTTCAAGTGCACGTTCGTCCGCGCCGGGTCAAAAACCCCGGCGCCTTCCGTCTGAATCTTCTTCCAGTTGCTCTCGCCGTACTTCTTCACCAACCGCTCGAGCTCTTTCACCTCCTCGTCGGACCAGTACTGTTTCTTTTTCCTCCCCGTGGCCGTCGTCGCGTGCTTCTTCTTTTCGACGGCGAAACTCGGCAGCGTCGGCGTCCCCTTCTCGCCCGGGGTCGTAAACTGCGAGTCCCCGTCCCACTCCACCGTCGTCGCGCCGGGTTTCCGCGTGGACGAGATCTTCATCTTCTTCGCGCGGATCGCCGCGGGGGAGGGCTCGTCGTCGTCGTCGTCGTCCGCGGGGGCGATCTCTTCTTGCGTCTCGTTCGCCGTCGCTCGCTTCCCGAGCTTCTTCCACGCCGCCGCGTCTTCGCCGCCGCCGCGGGTCGTCCTCGTCGTCGCCTTCGCCGCCTTCGCCGCGGGCGGCGCGTCCTCGTCCTCGTCCTCGTCCTCGTCGCTCGACGTCGTCGCGTCGCGACGCGCCGCCGCCGCCCTCGCGTCGCCGTCCCTCTCCTTCTTCGGCAGCAGCAACCCCTCCTCGACCATCGGGTTGTACGCCCCGCGCGCGATGTCAATCGCGACGAGCTCCAAAAAGCTCGGCCCCATCGCCTTGATCACGCTCGAGGCGTACTGCGCGAGCTGCTGCAGAAGCTCCTTCTCCGCGTGCCAGCGGTTGAGCACCTCTCCCGCGCGCGCCGGGGTCGCCCACTCGCACACCCTGGCCAAGCCGTCGCGGCAGTTCACGAGCGTCTCCGCGTCCAGCCACGGCGACGTGTCCTTCAGATCCTCCACGAGGTACGCGTGCACGGCTTCTTTGAACGCCTTGACGTTGGGTTTCGGTCCGCGCAAGTGCGTGATGCAGGTTTCGCTGTAACACCGCGCGACGAGAAGCGGCGACGGGACCGGAAGGACACCCCCCGCGGCGTCGAGCGTCGACGTCTTGTCGCCCACGGTGACGAGCGACTCGAAGACCATCATGGCGCATTTTTTGTCGATGTGCTCGAAGTTGCGCGTGGAGTAGTTTAAAGAGTCGAGGAGGAGGCGGATCTGCGCGCGGAGTGGAGGAGGCGGGATTTGGAGCTTCAGCGATCGGCGTTCGTTTACTTTTTCTCTTTCTTCGTCGGAATTGAATTGGGAATCGGGTGCACACATCGCGAGATCGGGCGCGAAGCGGCGGACGACGCGCGCGCGCCGCGAGTCCGCCCCGGCCCTTCCGAACGCGGACGGACGAACGCGCGGACGAAGGGACGAGCGCGCGAGCCGAGGCGCGCGGGGTGCCGCGGGGTGCCGAGGGAGGGGGCCCGCCGGGCGCGCACTCATTCACCTGAAGATGCGCGGGGAGGTCGACGCTCTGCATCTTCGGCGTGAGCGCGGCCATGCATCGCAGCTTCGCCTCGTTCGAGAGGCTCTGCGAGCACGTGATGAGCTCGATCGCCCACGCGAGCGCGGTGTCGTGCGCCGCGTCGGTCGCGGGGTTCGCCATGACGAGGTGGGGCGTCCGGGGAATGCGGCGACGGGCCCGCGGTGTCCGCGTTTCGAACCGTCGAATATCAACGGGCCGCTAAACCCGCTAAACCCTAGCTTTACAGAGTACCCTAATTAGGGTTCGGCCGGCCACGCGGCTGCGAGACCAGACGACGACAAGCGCGTGATCTGAGCGACGTCGACGCGTTCGTCAGTTCCGAAGGGCGCATGGCGTCCGCGGCGGCGACGCGCGTCTCCGGACGCGTCGCGCCGTCGCCCCTCTGCCGGCATCGCGCGGCGTCGCGGCGTCGTCTCCGCGCCGCGTCGCCGCGCGCGCGAGCGACGGTCACGGCGGCCGCGTCCGGGGCGAGCGGCGACGGCGACGGTGACGGTGATGGCGACGGTGACAAGAAGAACACCACGTCGACGCCGTCGTGGGAGGATCTCATCGCGTCGCAGATCGACGCCGACCTCGCGCGCGAGCGCGCCGAGCGCGAGGACATGTACGGATGGGACCTCCCGAAGGAGCGCGTCGTGCTCGTCGGCGTCGGCGGGCAGCGGAACGACGAGAAGGCGTCGCCGAACGCGTACGGGTTGGACGACTCCTTGTCCGAGCTCGCGCAGCTCGCGGAGACCGCGGGGCTTCAGGTGGTCGGGCGCGTGACGCAGCGCCTGCGCGCGCCGCACCCGGGGACGTACGTCGGGAAGGGGAAGCTGCGGGAGTTGAGGCTCGCGTGCGGGCTGACGGACGACGTCGCGGAGGAGGACGAGGAAGAGGAAGCGCACGACGACGACGACGACGATTTCGACGAGTTCGAGTTTCAGTGGGAAGACGTCTCCGAGGACGAGGACGAGGACGCGTCCGCGCCGCCGTCCCCGCGGCCCCCGGCGCCGATACCGGAACAACCGCATCCGAAACCGAAGCCGCGCGTCGTGGACACCGTCGTCTTCGACGATGAGCTCACGCCGCGGCAGAACCGAAACCTCGCGAAAATTCTCGACGACAGAGTCCAAGTCTGCGACCGGACGATGCTCATCTTGGACATCTTCTCGCAGCGCGCGAGGACCGCGGAAGGGCAGCTTCAGGTCGAGATGGCGCAGCTGGAGTACCAGCTCCCGCGTCTGAGCAAGATGTGGACGCACTTGGAGAGACAGGCGGGCGGCGGCGCGGGCGGCGGCGGGCAAGTCAAGGGCATGGGAGAGAAACAGATCGAGATCGATAAGCGCCTGCTGCGCGACCGAATCGTGATGCTGAAGCGCAAGCTGGACAAGGTTTCGACGCACAGGGCGGCGTACAGAGACCGCCGAGCGGCGGCGCCGATCCCGGTCGTCTCCTTGGTGGGGTACACGAACGCGGGGAAGAGCACGGTGTTGAACGCGCTCGTCGGCGCGGGCGTACTCGCGGAGGATAAGCTCTTCGCGACGCTCGACCCGACGACGCGAAGGCTCTCGCTGCCGAACGGCAAGGACGTCCTCCTGACCGACACCGTGGGGTTCATTCAGAGGCTGCCCACGGATTTGATCGCCGCGTTCCGAGCGACGCTGGAAGAGATCAAAGACTCGACGCTGCTGCTTCACGTCGTGGACATCTCGTCGCCGCTCGCGGGCGCGCAAGTCGCCGCCGTGGAGGCGGTGCTGGAAGACCTCGGCGCGTTGGACATCCCGCGCGTGACCGTGTGGAACAAGGTCGACGCGCTGACGGGGTTCGAAGGAGGGGTTGTTTTGGGTGGGGGTGCCGATGGGGGTGCCGATGGGGGTGCCGATGCCGGCTCGGAGACGACCGCGGAGGCGCGGACGCGGGAGGTTTTATCCCGCGCCGCGAAATGCGGCGCCGTCGCCGTGAGGTGCGTTCTACACACTGGTCCCCATACGACCGCGTTGGCGTGGTGAACGCCGTTCCTTAAGGACTTTCTCGCCCTGCGCATCTCTCCGCCCACCCCTCGCTTTCAATCCCCGGCCTCGATGCCTTTCAACTCCGCTTCTGACGCCTTTCAACTCCACCCCGACGTTCGCTCGTACGGAACGACCCTCAGCGCCGCGACCGGGTTCGGCGTCGACGCGCTCGTCGACGTCGTGCAGTCCGAGCTCGTGCGCGTGTCGCTCACGCGCGTGGAGGTTCTCGTGCCGTACGATAAGGGGTCCGTGCTCGGGGAGATTCGCAGGGCGGGCGTGGTGGAGTCGGAGACGTGGCGGGAGGACGGGACCCGCGTGATCGCGCACGTGCCCGTGAGCGCGGCGAGGCGGCTCGCGAGTTTGGGGATGACCGCGGTGGGGGGTGCCGACTTGGGTGCCGACTCGGATGGTGCCGACGACGTCGTCGCGACGTGGTCCGAGGAGGACGAAGCCGAGCTCGAGAGGTTGCTGATGGAGGAGGAGGAGGAGGCGAACACGTGACGATCAGTGGTCACGACGCGACCTAATAAGACTCTAGCTAGACTAACTATAACCTAATGTGCGGCGGCAGCGCGGCGACGCACGGGCTGTCCTTGTACGCCATCAGCGTCTCGTACCCGCGCACCTCGCCGCCGCCGCCGCCGAGTTCTTCTTCGATTTCGATCGTCGCCCACGCCTCCTCGGACGTGTGCGCCTCGGCGTACGTAAACTTTTTGCAGTCCTCCCGCGAGGTCAACGCGTCGTGGCCGTCGATGTGCCCGCACTTTGTCTTTCCCATGCCTCTCAGCGCTTTCGCTCGCGCTATGTTCTTATAGTACGCGCTCGTGTAGTTGACGACGGGTTCGTCGCCGTCGCCGCTCGCGTCGTCGTCGTCGTCGCCGCTCGCGTCGTCGTCGCCGTCGTCGCCGTCGTCGCCGTCCTCCTCCTCGTCCTCGTCACCGTCCCTGCCGACGCCGTCGTCTTGAAGCAAATACACACCGAAATACTCCTTATGCAACGCCACGCCGCTGTCCTCGCGCGCTTTCGCGAGCATGTGCTGCCCTAACGTGTCCTCGATGAACCCCCCTCTCGGCAGGTTCACGTACCGCTTCTTCCCGAACACCCGCGAGAGATACCACCGCGTGGACGCGACGTGCATGCTATCGTAAAACTGCAACAGAGGCAGCAGCCGCAGCGGCGCGCGCGTCGTCGCATCGTCCGCGCCGCCCTCTCGCGCGACGCTCGGATCGCATCCACAGCGATCCCTCGGCTGCGGCACCGCGAGCTCGAACCCCTCGACGACGAGGCCGTACTTCGACAGCACGTGATGCTCGTGCCGGATCGTCGTCGACGTCGGGAACCCCACGTAGTTCACGCGTCTCCGGCCCGGACGCGAAACGTCATCCGGACGCGAACCGTCGCCGTCACCCCAACACGAACCGTCGCCCTCGTCCTCCTCAACGTCCGGCGTCGCCCCCCACCCGGTCTTCCCCCCCTCCGTGCTCCCCGCGTTCGCCTCTCGCATCGCGCGGACGACGGCGGCGACGTCGGTGACGCGGACGAAGCTTCGGTCGTGCTGCGCGACGAGCACGAACGGCGTCGCGACGCGCATGAGCCCCCTTCGGAGCGCGTGCGCGAACCCGTGGCGCTCGTCCAGCGCGAGCAACGTCGCGCCGTGAAGCGCGCTGTGTGTGCATCGCGCGGACGTCGTCAGGTGATGCACGCGGGAGAGGTACCGTCGGTACCGCGCCTCGTCCTCCGCGGTGCAGACGCCGGCGCGGAACTTGGACACGTCCCTGACTTTGACGCCGTCCGCGACGATGATCTTCGCGCATCGACGCGGGATGCCGCCGAGGTTGACGATGCTCTCGAAGACTTCCTCGATGAGCCTCGTGGACGGGTGCGTCCTGGGGAGGGAGAGAGCGGCGGCGGGGTCGGGAACGATCGATCGTGAGAGGGTCGACGACGATGAATGAAATTGAACGAGAGAGAGACGGACGGGGAACGACGGACGAAGGAGGGCGAACGGCGGGGCGCGCACTTGATCGGCGACGTCGTGAGGACGATCGTGAGCAGGTCCGCGAGGTCGTCGTCCTCCGCGCCGGCCGCCGCGGGAGCGGTCATCCTCCTCCCGCCGCGCTCGGCGCACTGATGGACAGCGGCGTCGCAAACCTATTCTCGCTCACGGGAGGTGCCGACAGCGACACGATTCCGATCGTCGCAGTCGAACGGCGCGCGATGGCGCGGAGGTCGCGCGGGCCGGTGTGGCTCACCCTCGCGTTCGCCGTCGCCGCGTTCGCGTCGCACGTCCTCACCGCGTCGGTGCTGGACGCGTGGGACGCCGGCGCGGCGTCGACGCGGCGCGTCGCGGTCCGCTTTGCCCGCGCGACGATCGGGGAAAGGGAAAGCGGGGCGTCGTCGTCGATGGACGCGTCCGACGTGCGCCGCGTCGATCCCTCTCCGTCGTCGTCCAGCGGAGCGTCGAACGGAGGAGGAGGGAATGGAGAGAAGAAGATGACGAAAACGGCGGGGAACGGGAAGTTCCACGTCCTCATGACGTCGGACGGCTCGCCGTACCAGCGATGGCAGTCGCGAGCGATGTATTACCACTACGAGAAACAGCGCGCCAAGGCGGGCGCCGCCGGCGCGATGGGCGACTTCACGCGCCTCCTCCACAGCGGCGTCCCGGACGACCTCATGAGCGAGATTCCCACGGTCGTGGTGAACAAGCTCCCTCCGGACGTTGACGACGGCGGATACGTCGTATTACATCGTCCCTACGCGATTAAACAGTGGCTAGACTCGCACGCGGCCGCAATCGAGGAGGAGTTCGTCCTTCTCGCGGAGCCGGATCATCTGTTCCTGCGGCCAATGCCGCTGCTCGCGTCGAATGAAACGGCTGTTGGGTATCCGTTCTTTTACATCACCCCGAACGACGACGCCCACTGGAAGATACTCCAAAAGTTTAACGCCGCGCGCGCGCCGCGCGCGTCGTTCCCGCCGACGGGAAACTCGCCGTGCATGCTGTCCATCGACGCGCTGCGCGCCGTCACGCCCATCTGGCACGATCTCGCGGTGCGAATGAAGCACGACCCGGAGGCGGACGCGGCGTTCGGGTGGGTGCTCGAGATGTGGGCGTACAGCGTCGCCGTCGCGCAGGCGGGGGTGAAGCACGCGATGGTAGACGAGCTCATGATTCACCCTCCGTGGGACGCGAGCACGCGAGCGAAATCGAACGGGCGCCAGGCGTTCGTCATCCACTACACGTACGGGCAAGACTTCACGAAGAGCGGCCAGATGACGAACGGGAAGGTTGGGGACTGGCACTGGGATAAGAGAGATCACACGTTGACGCCCCCGGGGAAGATACCGCCGCCGCCGAGAAAAGCGAGCGGGGGGACGCGCGCGCTCGTGAAGCTGTTGAACGAGGCGATGGACAACATCCCGGAGTGGGACCGCGTCGGGTAGGTATGGGGCTAGTAGGATGCGCGATCGATGGAGATGCACACCGATTACATTATTACCTAGTAGCTTATAGGGCCTAGTAGACTTCTAGCGCATACTACGAGCGCGAGCGACGACGTACGGGCGACTAGCTAGACTAACAACGCTTGCGAAAGACGTGCATCCTCTGCCGTCTGTTCCACGACGTCGGCGTCTCCACGACGCCTATCGCGTCCCCGAACGCAGCCTCCCGCCCGAGCCGATCGTTGTAGTCGACGACGAGCGCGCCCGGGGCGAGCTCCGCCGCGAGCCGCTTCGCCGCGGCGTCGTGCACCGCGGCGTCCCAGCACTGCGACGTGAGCGTGACCACTCGCGTGTTATTCGTGATTTCGCATTCGGTCAGCATGTCGCCCCGCGTGAACCCCAGCACGGAATCGTATCTGCCGCGCAGGAGATTCGACGCGACCTCGCGCGCGGTTGCCACGTGGCACTGTAAAAGCTCGTACCCGCGCGTGGGCACCCCGAGACCGATCGCGGCGTAAAACGCGAGCCACCCGACGCTGCTGCCCCAGACGACGTTTCCGACGTCGCGTCCCGCGCGGTCGCTCACTTCGCCGACGCCAGTTTCACGTCCGACGCCAGTTTCACGTCCGACACCAAAACCGTCGTCGCTCGCCGCCGCCGCCGCCGCCAATTCCCTGAGCGCGTCTCGCAGCTCCGGGACGCCGTGTATCACGCGGAGCCAGCTCGCGAGCGGGGTGCTGCCGTACGCGAAATTTTCCTCCGTGTACTTTTCGCCGCCGCCGCCGCCGCCGCCGCCGGACGCGCCCGTCTCTCCCTCCCTCTCCTCTCCGCTCCCCCCGGAGGGACTCATCGCACTCATCGCGCGACTCAGCTCCGCCGTCTCCGCCGCGAGCTTCGCGCGCGCGTCGACGTCCCTCTCGCGCGCGCGCAGAAACGCGATCGCGGTCCGCAAGTCCGCCGCGCGCGTCTCGGCGGCGCTCGCGTCGTCGTCGTCGTCGTCGTCGTCGTCGTCGTCGCCGCCTCGTCT